ATGGCTCTGGGAGGGCCTATTGTGTTTGTACTAGAACTTCATTAAATGTACAAACTAGCTTGGGAATGTTTGACAACTTGACAATATTGAAGATTCCCTTTCCAGGACATGGGATATTGACAAATTTACTAGTTTTTAATTAAATTTCATATAATAAAGAATCAAACAACTTGTGAAGGTCTTCAGGATAACTAAGGGTATATTTTAGTCTTCACTTTTCTTCCCATTTAATTAATTCAGTACAATTATAAAAATGTAAGCACCTTAAGAACCAATATAGAAGATACATCTTTTAAAAGCCTTTATTTAATACAGGAGATGATCATGGCAGCTTAACTGGTCAGAGAGCCCTGAGAAAGGTGGTCTCGGCCTTGGGATGTTGTCTAAAGGCGGCGGCGGCAGCTGGAGCCCCCATCCCAGTGCAGGGGCCTGTGTGGAATGTCAGACATTAGCTTCCTGTGGTACGCGGATGAGCAGGACTCTTCCACCACATAATAAACAAAAAAGAGAATATTCAGAGAGGAGAATTATAGGATACTCTAGGCAGGAAATGTTTGCTGTCGTATCAGGAATAGAGTACAAAGCATTTTGTTCCTCGGTGCAAAAAATCAGATATAATATCAGAGAGATGAGGATACTGCAAAACATGATTAGAAATTGGGTTTCCACCTGTAATGGAGTGCTATTCATCAGTAGTAACCATGGGGAGACCACACTTGGTAAAGGCATCCTGTATCCATGGGAAGCTTTTCAATCACTTGGAGACTGTTCGGGGTTTTAGCCCAGGTCTTCCTGGTTACCCAAGACCTCGTACCTTGTGTTTTTAAATTTCTTTTGAATTTCACTCACTTCTACACTGTCAGCTTGCCACATTATTTTTCGATGAAGTTGTAAAGCAAATGATAGCTGCCATTGAAAGAAGAGTATGTAAGCTGTATGTATGGTCCAGAAACATATACCTCGGGAATTAATGCTTCATCAAGTTCATCACACGTAAAGGGCAAAAAGAACTGGGACTGGTCACCTACTTGTAACTTCAGTTTATTCACTTTTAGAATGTGCCTTTGTCATTTGCTTTCAGGCGTTGGAAAGCATTTGTTCAACCTGGCTTTGATTGTAAACTTGCACCGTGGAAAATTTGCACTTGGAATATGGAACCATGTGTACATAGAATTCAGTCAAGTATAATTCAAAGTAATGTGTACAGTAGAATATTTACAATAATGGGATGGCATCACTATTACTAGAATATTGACATCACCCTTTTGAGCAGAAACTGAAACTAAATTTAAACCTTTTGATTATCACCTTACCTGAGATAAGTTAGTTGAGATACCCAGTATGTATTAACCACATCATGTTTAAGTAATTAAATTCAGACTTTTTGTAACTTTTTGTCATAGGACCTGCCTCATGGGTCAGGATATTTGAGTAACCACCAGATACTTACAGTAAAAACATTGACTTAAAAATACTGTTAATGAAGGTGCCCTGACTGACGCCTTTATTATTTTTAAATTGTTCTTGGGGGTAGTGGTAGATAATTAAATACTATAGTGAGGTTAGCTCCCTGATAAACAGTGAATTTTTTTTTTTTTTGGTGAGTGATCAAGAACTTTAAGCTACTTTTCTTATAGTTTACAACCCTCTTCCAGGTTCTCAGTAGTGCTGATTGTGCGTCAAATTGTGTCTACAACAATGGGCAACAGATGAAGACAAGTTAGTTAATATGTCTCCAGCACCATACATCCCTATTTTCTATTTATTGTGTGTACTCACTTAAATGTATTTCAAACTGATATTTTTATAAGCAAATTAATGTAAAGACTGAAGTGGTAACTTAATAAAGTTAATTTGCTTTAAAAAGTAAATAAATAAAAACCTTTAATACAACTGGAAATTTGAACACCAGCTAGATATTTGATGCTATTAAGGCATTATTGTTACTTTGTTAGATGTTCTAACAGTATTTTGGTTACATTGTTTTAGAAGAGTCCTGATCCATTTAGCCATATATACTGAAATACACCTGGGATTTGCGTTGAAGTCACCTAAGATAAGTGTATAGGGGTACAAAACAAGATTGCCATGAGTTGCTAATTGTTGGAGCTGATAATTATTGGGTTCATTATATTATTTTGTCTTTTATTATGTATGTTTTAAATTTTCTATGATAAAAGTTAAAAATAAAGGCAAGCACAGAATGTCAAAGGAAAGAAAACAGTAATTATGAGAAGTAGAGCTAAGTAAATTTATAGCCACGGGGTGAAAATACTTATAAAGATAATTGATTGTATTGTTTTCTACCTACTTAAAGGTACACATTGGACCTCAAGCAAAATTATGAAATTGCCTTTGTTTATATTCATTTCCTTGTGTCTTCTTTCTTCTTTTTAGCCCAATACCAGTTTACCTTCTTGTTTTAAGGGCACATTTTTTCTCCTGTTCACCTCTTTACTTCCAAAATTGTCACTCATTTACATATACTGAGTAGGAGACTTAAATAATGATGAACTTATCTAGATTTAGCATACAAGGAAAGAATACTTTGGGAGACAGTTCAGTGGCAGAAGTCAAGGAGTAAATCTGATAGAGTGTTAGAAAATTATTTGAGCATTTGGAAAAATTAATGATAGGACTGTGAAAAGTTAGTTGGAACGTTTGGAAAATAAGTTGTAGGAGTCCCTTATGAAAAGCACTAATTGTTGATTTTATAAAAATTTCCAGTGTGGAGATAGGGGAAGGTAAAAGCTTAACCCTCTAGTATTCTAACAAGAAATAAATAGATAATGTCTAAAATGGGTAAATAAAAAAGTAGCAACAATAGCATACATTCAGAAATACAGAAGTGATTAAAGGAACTTAACAAATTCAAAGTAGTTACTTCTGGACAGTAGGATAAATTGGTAGAGGGGCAGAAAGTATGGAACAGAACTGCTATACGAGTATTTTATTATAAGCCACTTAGTATAATCTGGCTTTAACAATGTTTTATTTTAATAAAAATAGAAAATGAATGTAAAAACAAACCATGGAACAGAGAACTGCTATATGTCATTATAAGCCACTTATTACAGTCTGACTTAACAATGTTTATATTTTATTTTAATAAAAATAGAAAATGAATATAAAACAAACAACTGCAGTATTAGTAGACTTATTCTAAAGAAATATCAAGAGGAGATAAAACTAATAAAATTAATCTGAACAAAATTAAGACTATGAAATTGGGTGAAGTGGGGGTCCAGCTTCACTCTCTTGCATATGTATATCCAGTTGTCTCTGTGCCATTTATTGAAAAGACTATTCTTTCCTCCATTGAATTGTCTTGTCACCCTTGTTGAATATCAATTGACCATACATTTATGGATTTATTTCTCATATAATTTTAGTATGTGTCATTCTTTATGCAAGCACTACAGAGCCTTGATTACTATTGCTTTTTAGTCACTTTTGAAATTAAGTGGGGTTTTCCAGCTTTGTTGCTTTTGGAGATTGTTTGGCTATCCTGGTTCCTCTGCATTTCTTACGAATTTTAGAATTTGAGAATAGCTTGTCAATTTCTGCAAAAGGGAGGGGTGGGTAGCTAAGATTTTAATAGGGATTGCATTAAATCTGTGGATCAGTTTGGTGAATAGCAACATGAATATGGGATATCTTTCTATTTATGTAACTTCTTTCAATGATATTTTATAGTTTCGGTGTACAAATCTTGCATTTCTTTTGTTACATTATTTCTAATTTCTAATTTATTGTTTTTGATGCTGTTGTAAGAGGAATGATTTTCTTAATTTTATTTTCAGATTGTTCATTGCTAGTGTATAGAAATACATTTGATGTTTGCATTTTGATCTTGTATCCTGTAACCTTGCTGAACTAATTTATTCTAATAAATTTATTTGTATGTTCCTTAGGATTTTCTATATACAAGTTCATGTCATCAGCAAAAAGAGATAGTTTTACTTATTCCTTTCCAATCTTGATGCCTTTTATTTCTTTTTCTTGCCTAACTGCCTTAGCTAGAACCTCCAGTGCAGCGTTGAGTAGTGGCACGAGTACACATCTTTGCCTTTTTCCTGATGTGGAAAGCGTTCAGTCTTTCACTATTAAGTATGGTGTTAGCTATGGGATTTTTTCCTAGAAGCCGTTTATCAAGTTGAGGAAATTTCCCTTCTGTACCTAGTTTGTTGAATGTTTTTATCATGAAAGGATGTTGGATTTTGTCAAATGCTTTCTTTGTGCCTATTGAGATATCATGTGGTTTTTTTTTTGTTTTTGTACTATTAATATATATTACATTGATAGATTTTCATATGTTGATGAACCATTCTTATATTCCTGAGATAAATTGTACTTGGTCATTGTGTACAATTCTTTTCATATGCTGCTGGATTCAGTTTGCTAGCCTTTTACTAAAGATTTTTGCATCTTCATTTATAAAGGATATTGGCTGTAATTTTCTTTCCATGTCTTTGTCTGCATTTGGCATCAGGATCTCATAGAATAGTTGGGAAGTGTTGCCAATACTTTGTGAAGTATTGGTTTTAATTCTTTAATGTTTGATTGAATTCACCAGTGAAACCATCTGGTTCTGGGTTTGTGAGAAGTTTTCGTGGTTACTAATTCAATCTCTTTACTTTTTATAGATCTATTAAAATTTCAAATTTCTTCTTAAGTAAAGTTTTTTAATTTGAAAAATACAAAGAAAGTGTAAGTTTGTAAGTAAGTGTAAGGTAGTCTGATAAAGCTTAAATGGCATATAAAAACCTGTCCTACCAATTCATGGAAAGTAAATTTGAAACTTATACTGTTTAACAGTTCAGTTTTTTGAAATGTAAATTTGAAACTCATACTGCTTAACAATTCCTTTTTTTTTAATGTGATTTTTCAAGAGTGTTGTTAATGCCTTTTTACTTGAATTATAATCGTATTTCATAATGGCTTGGAATTTAAGGGTGTTTTTTTTCCCTTTTTTTCTTCCTTTTTTTTTCTCTCAGCAGCAATGCAGCAAGTGTTGGATAACCTTACGGAGCTGCCCTCATCTACGGGAGCAGAAGAAATAGACCTAATTTTCCTCAAGGGGATTATGGAGAATCCTATTGTAAAATCACTTGCTAAGGTATACTGGTTTATTCATAAGATTTCTCAAATTATTTTTAAAATTGTTTTTTGCAGAGGTCTATTCAGATATTACTGTTTTAGAACCTAGTGGATATGCCTTAGGCTTAGTTAGCAAATAACACTTAAAAATAGTGAAATCTTTCTGTACACCACTTAGACCACTTTTGCCTTTTCAATGCTGACTTTAAATAAAGGATGAAATGACTCTTAGTTTTAGCCTAACACATTTGAAGTTTTAGGGAAATCATAACTGAACAGTTATGTTATAACGGGACCTGTGAAAAAGACCCTGCTGGTATCTCTGTTTTCATCAGCAAGGTGCTGATTTTATTATACCGTGTACCTGTTTTTCATTTTAGTGCTTGATTTCCTATTTCTATTACTTCCTGAAATCTTGTTTTCCGTTAGATAACCCTGATATTGTAAGTCTGTTAACATAATTAGCTCTTTAGCAGTCTCCTTAGCTCATCCATAAATACAACTTCTTTTGGTCTAGTTTTATTTCACTTATACTGTTGCCCTGTAATTCTTATAAGCATCACTAAAGCTTAGTGTATTAAGTACTTCACATCCCTCCTGTCCCATCCTTTAACATCCCCCAAATGACTGTTGCTTTGAAAAACCTATGTGGCGTTTCCCCTGACCTTTTCTTTACAGAGACATTTCATCAGTGCCAGAGTGTTGATCTCACTCTCTCCTGTGATCGTTTTCTAGCCACAGTCTCTTACTTGTTTTCTTCTAAGACTGCTGAAAAATCATGCCTTTTACAAAGTTTCCCATTGGTAAGAGTGAATTAATAAGGCAGATTCATTTTATTCATAAACTTAATCATTCTAAGATCACATGATATAAGATCCAGTCAAGATTAAGGGGCAGGGGGGAGGTGAAGGGAAAAAAAATTCACGTGATATGAAGGCTTTGGCTTCTAAGTAGAAACTAATCCACTTGCAGATAACCCAACTGGAGTGCTTATTTTTGTAATTTAAAAAAGATTAAAAAAATTTTTCATTTACAGTTGACATTCAATATTCTATTAATTTCAGGTGTACAGCGTGGTTAGACATTTAGATAACTTATGAAGTGATCCCCCTGATAAGTCTAGTACCTCTCTCCCCCCCAATATTTTTGGGGTTTTTTGTTTTTGGGGTTTTTTAAAGATTTTATTGGGGAATTGGGGGAGGGGAACAGACAAGTTGCTATCCTTTTTATTCTTCAGTCTAGTTGTGGAGGACATCGTCGCTTCACTGGCCCATGTTGGTATTGTGATCATTGCGCTCTTCCTGGGTGAGGCAGATCGGTTGCTGGCCACTGGAGAGCCGCTCACGGCGGCTCTTTGTAGCTCTCAGGGCTGCCAGCTGCTTACACCGGCTGCCAACCACTCACGGTAGCATGGCAGCCCACTGCATCAGAGGCTGCAGCCTATGCCTTCGCCGACGACTCACAGCAGCCCAGCTCCAGGTCAAGCTGTTGTTCACCATCTTAGCTGTAGAGGGCAGTGTCACTGGCCCTCATGTGGGATCCAAACTGGGGCCCTGCTGCTCAGAGCTGGCGTCCCAAGCCAGCTCTTAACCAATGCGCCATTTGGCCAGCCCTGTTTCACTTTCTTATCATTTGAGTGTTCACTGGAGTAGCACACTTAGTTTCCTTTAAGAGCTTTTTGGTTGTATTCACAACTTGGCTAACTGTTTGGCACAATAGGCCTAACTTCCAGCCTCTCTTGGCCTAAGCTTTAGTGCCTTCCTCACTAAGCTTAATCATTTCTAGCTTTTGACTTAAAGTGAGAGAAGTGTGACTCTTCCTTTCACTTGAACACTTAGAGGACATTGTAGAATTATTAATTGGCCTAATTTCAAAATTACTGTGTCTCAGGGAGTAGGGAGACCCAAGGAGAAGGAGAGAGATGGGGGAACTACTGGTTGGTGGAGCAGTCAGAACACACACATTTATCAATTAAGTTCACCTTATGGTTCCTGGTGTGGTTCATGGTGCCCCAAAACAATTACAGTAGTAACATCAAAGATAACTACTTAGAGATCACCATAACAAATTTAATTATGATGAAGAAGTTTGAAATATTCTGAGAATTACTAAAATGTGACACAGAGATACAAAGTGAACAAATGCTGTTGGAAAAATTGCTTGACACAGGGTTGCCACAACCCTTCAATTTGTAAAAAATATATCTGTGAAGTGCATAAAGCAAAACACAATAAAACAAGATATGCCTATACATATGTACATACATAAATTAAGGGATTGGAAGGCTCAGTACTCTTAATATGTTTATTCTCCACAAACTGAACTGTAAATTCTGTATAATCCCTGTCAAAATTTTGGGCTGACAAGATGATATTGAAATTTATAAAGGACCTAGACTAGTCTACACAATTTTGAAAAAGAACAAAATTTGATGTCTTCCACGACCTGATTTCAATGATTATGATGACCCCAGTAATGAAGATAATGTAATATTGGCAGATAGAGCAATGGCACGGAGTAGAGTCCAGAAAGAGACCAACACATATATGACCAATTGATTTTTGTTAATAGTGCCATGGTAATTAAATGAAGAAATGCTAGTCTTTTCAATAAGTGTTGCTGGAATAATTGAATATTTATATGCAAAAAAAATGACCATCTTTTTCCTCATGCTGTATGCAAAAATTAGCTTAAAATAGATCATAGATCTAAATTGTAAGAGGTAAGACTATAAAACTTCTAAAATAACACATAAGGAAAAACTCTGTGACTCTGGGTTAGAGAAAAATCTCTTAAGATATAAAAAGCATGAAATTTAATGAAAAATTTGACTAGAATTGTATCAAAATTAAAAACTTTTCCTCTTCAAAAGACACCATTACGAAAATGAAATGGCAAGCTATAGCCTGGGAGGAAATATTTACAAAACATATATCCTAAAAAAAACTGCTCATTTGTTGCCGGTAGCAATGAAAAATGGTATAATTCCTTTGGAAGACAGTCTGGCAGTTTCTTACAAAGCTAAATATAGTGTTACTACCATGCAATCCAGCAGTTGCTCTCCTTGATATTTACCCGAGTTGACAATTTACTCGTATGTACACACAGAATCCTACACATGAATGTTTATGACAGCTTTATTTATAATTCATAACTTGGAAGTAATGAAGATGCCCTTCAGTAGATGTGTGGATAAACAAAAGTGTGGTACATCCATACAATGGAATATTACTCAGTGATAAAAAATAATGAGCTATCAAGCCATGAAAAAACATGGAGAAACCTTTAATGCTTATTGCTAAGCAAAAAAAAGCAGTCTAAAAAGGCTACATACTATATGATTCCAACTATATGACATTCTAGAACAAGCAAAAACTATAGAGTACAAAAAAAAATAGTTGCCAAGATTTGGGAGAGGTCAAAGGAGGGGTGAATAGGTAGAGCACAGGACATTTTTAGGGCAGTGTAACTATTCTGTATGCTACTGTAAAGATGGATAAATATCATTATGCATTTGTCAAAATCCATGGAACTGTATAACACAAAGAGTGGGCCCTAATGTAAACTATAGACTTAATAACAGTGTATCAATATTAGCTCATTAATTATAACATGTATCACAAATATTTCTTCTGTTCCCTTTTCTCATTCCCCTTGTGATAGTCACATTATAGTATGTTACATCTTTGTAATTGTCCCTTATTCCTTAGGTATTCTGTTCCATGTTTCATCCCTTTTTCTCTTTGATTTTTAGTATGGGAGGCTTCTATTGACATATCTTCTGGCTCATTGATACTTTTACATGTATCAATGTTATTGGCCATTTGTACATCTTTGGAGGAATGTCTGTTCAAGGCCCTTTGCCCATTTTGAATCAGGATTTTTGTTGTTGTTGAATGTTAGAAGTTCTGTATGTATTCTGGATATTACTCTCTTATCAGGTATATGAGGTCTTACAATTAAGTTCGCAAACTCATCCCAGAAAAAGTGCTACATACTTCATTGCTCAATATCACTACAGTCACTTTTGAAGTACTCCCCTTGGGAAGCTATGCACCGATGCCCTAGTCCACCCTTCAAAGCAATTTTGGAACTCTTTTTCTGGAATGGCCATAAGAGCTGTCATCATATTACCCTGATGTCTTGAATATTATCAAAATGTCTTTCTTTCAGTATTTCTTTTATCTTTGGGTAAAGAAAGAAGTCATTGAGGGCCAGATGGGGTGAGTAGGGAGGGTGTTCCAATAGTTATTTGTTTACTGGCTAAAAAATCCCTCACAGACTGTGCCGTGTGAGCTGGTGCATTGTCATGATGCAAGAGCCATGAATTGTTGGTGAAAAGTTCAGGTTGTCTAACTTGTTCACGCAGCCTTTTCAGCACTTCGAAATAGTAAACTTGGTTAACTGTTTGTCCATTAAGTACAAATTCATAATGACTAAACCCTCTGATATCAAAAAAGGTTAGCAACACAGGTGCAACAAGTTTGTGAACTTAATTGTCTGACCTGTATAATTTGCAAATATTTCTCCTGTTCTGGTGGTTGCCTTTTTACTATTGATATTGTCTTTTGGTGCACAAAGTTTTAAAATTTTCATGAAGTTTAATTTACCTATTCTTTCTTTTGTTGCCTGTGCTTGTAGTGTCATATCCTAGAAATCTGCCAAATCCAGTGCTGTGAAGCTTTTGCCCTATGTTTTCCTCTAAGAGTTTTATAGTTTCAGTTCTTGCATTTCTATCTTTGACCCATTTTGAGTTAATTTTTTCTTTTTATACAGTGTTAGGTAAGTGTCCTACTTCATTGTCTTGCATGTGGATATCCAGTTTTCCCCAGCATCTTTGTTAAAAAAGAAAACCATTCTTTCCCCAGTCAATAGTCTTGGCATCCTTGTCAAAAATTATTTGGCTATATATGTGAGGATTTATTTCTAGATTATAGTCCATTAGTATGTACACCTGTCTTTGTACCAGTACCATACTGTTTTGGTTATTGTAGTTTTGTAGTTAATTTTTGCAATCAGGAAGTGTCAGTCATCTTACTTTGTTCTTTTTCAGGATTGTTTTGACTCTTCTGGGTCCCTTGTGATTCCATTTTAATTTTTAGAATCAGCTTGTCAATTTCTACAAAGAACTCTGGTGGGATTCCAATGGGCATTGTATCAAATCTGTAGATAATTCTGGGGAGTGTTGCCATCTTAACAATGTTAACTCTTTAGAACCATGACCATGAAATGATTTTCCATTTATTTAAATCTTTAAATTTTTTCAACGATATTTTGTAGTTTTCAGACTATAAGTTTTACACTTCTTTTGTTACATTTACTCTTAAGTATTCTTTTCAATGCTATTATGAATGGAATTATTTTCTTAATTTGAATGTCAGGTTCATTGGTAGTGTATAGAAGTACAGTGGATTTTTGTCATTGAGCTTGTATCCTGCAACCTTGCTGAGCGTGTTTATTGGTTCTAATGGTATTTAGTGGATTCCTTAGAATTTTCTAAATACAAATTATGAATAAAAATAGTTTTACCTCTTTCTTTCCAATCTAGATACCTTTTATTTCTTTTTCTTGACTAATTGCCCTGACTAGAACCTCCAGTATAAATGTTGAATGGAATGGTGAGAGGGAGAAAACATCTATTGAATATAATAGTATTCACTACTAAATATAATAGTAGCTGTGGGTTTATCTAAAATCGAAATCTTGGGGTTTTTTTTCACATGATTCCATATCAGTACCTGTAGTCTTCTACCATATCCTCACCAATACGGTATGTTATCAGAATTTTTATTTTTGCCAATCCGGTAAGGAAAAAGAAAAAGTGTTTTCTTATAGTTTTAATTTGTACTTCTTTTATCATGAATGAGGTTCTTGTGTATCTTGTGTATCTTTTCACAAGATTAAGGAGTATTTGTATTTCCCTTTCTGTGAATTTTCTGTTCATATTCTTTGCCCATTTCTCTTAATGTGTTATTGATCGTATTCTTATTGGTTTGAAATTAGTCTTTTGTATGTAATATGATTTGTAAGTATTTTGACCCTAGTTTGTCATTTGTATTTTGACTTTGCTGATTTTTGACAAGAGATTTTAAATGTTTATGTAGAAACATAAACATTGGGGGCTTTTGTTTGTTTGCCTAATTTATAGCTTCCAGAGTTTGAATCATAGTTAGAAAGGTCTTTTCCACTCAAAGATTATAAAAAGATTCTTTTATTATTCTCCCTGAATACTATTAAAGTCAAGCTTTTTAAAAAGATTCTTTTTCCTTTTAAAAAATATAACAGATTTCCATTTCTAGTTTTTTGACATCTGTGTGGTTCTAATTCTATATACATCTCTAAGAGTGGCTCAGCAGTGTCATTTAGAAGCTTCCCTGAGTATCTTGAAATATATTATGTAATGTAAGAATATGAATTCCTTTGGATTGAGTGGATGATTTCTGACAAGTTCTTTACTCATTAGAGAATTCCATTCTAATTTACTTACACTTATTCATCCATTTTTTTTGTTCAGAGCTAATGTCATTCTTTTGGATATAATATATGCAGAAGCAAAATAAAAATTGAGCTCTCCATCCCCTTTGTTTCATTTCTACTTCCTGCTCAAATTCTTGTTTATTTTGTGGACTTCTCTTCATCTTTCTTGTTCTAAAGTCTCTAGAATAAAAGAAGAGGATAACTCTTGACCACAGTTAAACTTTTTCCCATTTACTTAGCTTTATTAAGAAATATTTAACAAGCAACTGCTGCATACTTAGTTATGTTCTAAGAAGATAGAAACAAAGTTTTTAATATTTTGGTCCTTTTAAGGGAGAAATGCAAGGTTACTACACATAATAATAACATTATCACTACTAGATATTAGTATCTGTCACTTTAGATATAGGCCACAGTTTTTGCTAAAAAAATTATTTTTTGTTTGCAAGCATGGTTGGACTGTTCTTGGGTGAATTACCCAGAAGTTGTGAAAGAGCTTTTTCTCCTTTGCAGTTTGTTTTTCTAAGGTGTAGTAATGAGTAGGATTCTCGGAACTGGGCATAAAAGAAGGCTCTGCCATGTCTGTGGCAGGTGACATATATTTTTATTGAGTTTGCTAGATTTCTGCTAATGGTTTTTCTTAAAGGAAACAAGATTCATTTATTCGAATAGCATATGATTCGTCTGTCAATCAGGTCAGTTTTCAGTGTTTCCTTTTTCTTTGGTTTGATTAATTAAATTCAAGTTGGCACTTGCTTCTTGAAAGCTATTAAATAAATTCTGACTTTAAATTTCTTTCACAATATCTTGGAGCTTAGAAAGTTACATATTAACAAATATGGATCTGCATTTGCTTTCTTAGAAAAAGCAAAATTGATCTCAGTGGAACCCAACTATATTTCAGAAATTGGTTTTCCATGTTAATATAATTCTAGCTGCAGTTTCACTAAAAAACTTTTATCTTCCTCTGAGAATTTCCGTATTGTACAGTGAAATCCTTTTCTACCATAGAACCAGTCTGTGCAGTTGATGTAAAAAAACCTTCAGGCATATTTTTTTATAATTCTACCTCTTACTTCTTTGTTCTCTCTTGCCAGTAGTCTGTCCACATTCCCACCTGTCCCCACCCAGTTGGGCACAATAAGGTAGGTGAACATAGAAAAAGGAAGGCAACTATTTAAGAGTTTTGGAGTCAGTGACCATTTCTGTTCCTCTTTGTCGCTAAGTCTTGAATTGAACCAATATCTGCCAGTGTCTAAAGTATTATTACTATATGCTGATCATGTAACATTGGATATTATAAAAAATATATTGACATAATACCTGAAAATTGTAAGCCAGTCGTTATCTGTTTCCTGGAGAAAGAGGTAGTCTTTATAGCTCTTAAGTAGAGCAGAAGGGTGAAAGTTGAAGGAGTGAGTGGTATCCTGAACCATAGGAGTATAAAATAACCAGGGGAATAGATGTGGTGGAGCAGAATTAACACATCTGGACTAGAAGAGCCATGCTGAAGCAGCAATTCACCTGGCAGTCAGTGAGAGCGTCTCTCACATATTTAAATAAGTGAAACTATGGCATCCAGTATGAGATTGAATAATTAACTGCAAGGTGATGTTAGCATGGCTTTCTGTATAGTGATAAAGTCAAATAAGCTTTAGTAGGTAAGAGCTCAAGCCTTGATATTAGACAACCTGACTCTGCCACTTACCAGTACTGTCAACTCAAGAAAATCACTTTAATCTCATTTTGCCTCAAGCGTCTTTGTCTGTGAGGTGAGGACGGCGATAACATACTACCCTTTGCTGAATACACACACACACTCACTGTACTGAAACTGAAACTGTAGTTTCTGACACACACAAAAAAGCCCTCAGTAAATGTTAAGGTTTTTTTCTTAAGCTTTCTTTTACCATCATAAGAGTGTTAAAGTATTGCAAGGTTAATGATGCTAAATTACATATTTATTAAGGCAAATATCTGTATTAAAATAGCAATTCTAGCTTGTTTTGTAAAAGTTAACTAATTATGTACATTATTTTCATTTTTTCCAATGTTGATATTCATTCCATGATATATATTAAGTGTCCTCATTATCCTGTCCTTATCAGGCTTTCAGAAAATTACACATTTACCTATTCTCATTCTTTGTGGTATTTTTCTAGTCTTAATTTTTTTCTTATCGAAGCCTAATAGAAACTTTTCCCTCTGTTTAAATTACATGTGGTCTTTTGACATTTTCTTTGTTTAATAGCAGTCATAATTTCTTTTTTATCAGTTTATTTCATATGACTTAAAATTTATTCTTCTGAGGTGTTTTGTGAAAATGTAGCTTAATATATAGCCCCCCTTCCACTTAAAAACTTATTTCACTTTGTGAATCACCTGAAAAAAAACACATTTAAATGAAAAAAATTTCACTTAAAAAATTAGAATGTATATTTATACTCTGAAGGATACAAATACAAAACTTTGTATTGTAGAAGTAACATCTAAAGTATTGATATTATAGGTATCAGATAAAATTTAATTGATACTGTTGCCACTTGAAATTTGGATTTTTCTTCACATGCAGAAATGAATCTTAAAACATTTAGCGTAAGACTTGTCATTTTACATAGTTTCATTTATAAACTAAATCTTAATAATTATGCTTTGCCTGTCTTCAAAATCAGACAGCAACCATTTATCAGAAAAACAAAGAATACTAAAAGATGACTGAGTAGTGTTCATTCTCAGTTTGAAATTAAAACTCTGCTTTACTCCCACTATTCAAGGATAATTAGGACTACATATTTCCTGTGACAGTGTGATTCATGGTCTATTTTTCTGTGGAAAAGATTGTGAGATTTTTTTTAAAAACAGCTTAAGATACAGAGACCTGAAATCCTGTGGCCCTTCAGGGTCCAGTTCAAGAGCCGCCTTCCCTGAACTGACTTTTTTCAAAATTGGAAAATGGTAGCTTTAGGATTCAGGGGTTCCCAAAATGATTTTTATTATTTTTTGAATGGTAACCTATACAATGATTATGTTCCTAGTCTTTATTTTTATTGGATTTACTTAAATAAAGCACGAAGAGTCTATCTAGAGTTCAAGCCCAGACTAGAAAGTCATTAGGAAGTTCTGTTAGGTAGGAAATATGTTTTTTAAACTGTCATCCAGCCTGTTTAGTTTGTTCATAGTTTAGTTTTAAAAATGAGTTTTCCATTACTTTTAGGATAGGAAGAGGGGCCAAGATTTATTAATACTGCAAAATAACAATAACTAAAAAAAAATCTATAATATTGCCTCTGATTGACATATTCAATTTGCTTCAGTGAATCAAATCTCCAAGTAAGCTTTTCAAAAAAGAAGCAAATTAAGAAGAAAACCACAGTCTGAAGCAAAATAATGTGTTCTTACTTTAACATACCGTTGCCTTTTCAGGCTCATGAGAGGCTAGAAGATTCAAAACTAGAAGCTGTCAGCGACAATAACTTGGAATTAGTGAATGAAATTCTTGAAGATATCACTCCTCTAGTACCTGTGGATGAAAATGTGGCAGAACTGGTTGGTATCCTCAAAGAGCCTCACTTCCAGGTAAGCTTCCCCTGTCACTCTTCTCTCTAAGTCCTCTATGTTCCCGAAGTATTCTCCTTTAGTAGTTACATTCCAGTTTAAGGTGATATTTTTAAAGATTATTTAGGGCCATATTTTGTAAATACGGGAATTCCAACATAGGTATTTTAATATCCTGGCATGCTGAGGATATATAAACAGACACACATCATATACACTACATAAATGTATGACCTCTGTCACAGAAATACATGAAAATGGGGTTTTCTTTGTGTAATTAAGAAAAAAAAAAACAGCAACCCTGATTCACCATCAGACCACAAGCTAGAGAATTTTTTATTCTTGTGATGGTGGATTTTTCTTCCTCACCACCAGTTTCCTGGCCCTCCTTGGGACCCATATATGCATCTTCAGTATTGTTTCTAAGATCAGGATATAGTTGATGGTCTTGGAACAAAAGAAAGCAGTGTAAGGATGGAAACTATTACATACCATACTTTTGATAGGTACCAAAAATAAGTGCAGTTTAAGCATTGGTCTATATCAGTGAAGAGTTCATCATTTTAACAAAGAAGAATCAGTTTCAGAAGAGAAAGAGGGTGGGGGAAGATTTCTTATAAATCTGTAATTAAGACAGTATGGTTTTTGGGTCAGTATTAGAAAAATAGGTTAATAAAGGAGAATAGAAACCCCAGAATTACACCCACACACATATGGCAACTTGATTTATAATAGAGATATTCCATTTTAGTGGAGAAAGAATATTTAATAAATGGTCCTAGGATAGAAGAATAAAGCATCATCTGCTTTCCACTGCAAATCTTAGTGTTGAAAATCAAATGGCAACACCTGTTTGCTTTTTCTCAAAGACTTTCCATGACTCTCCAACAATGTTACTGTAAAATATGAAGATTTATAATGAGATTGTATATTTCTACATAAATCAGTATTTTAGGTACAAAACAATGGACACATATCAGAGCCATCTTTTATGCAGGGGCCGGTTGCTTGAGGCCTTCTAAGACATACTAAGGTATTTGGACTTTATCCTGAGGACAGTGGGAAACCTTAGGCAGGGATGAGAGGAGGTATTAAACAGGGAGAGGGCAGGTTGTGGAGCTAGAGTATTAAGTACTAAGGCAAGAAATTGTGATGGAAGTATAAAAATGTGAGGATTTTCAAGTTTTAAGCAGTAAATCAGCTGGACTTTATGATTGGTTACATGTGACAGTTGCAGAAGAGAGATGTGGAAGGCTGATTAAGGATAGGCTTTCTGACACAATTGATGGCATCCACTGAGATGTGGAGCACTCTAGGAAAGACTGTTTTGGACATGTTGATATTAAGGTAACTGCCTATTTTAAGTTTGTGATACTTCAGAAGCATCTGGGTAGAGCTTTCAGACATGGTATATATATTTTTAAATAAATGTATAAGATTTAATAAATATATAAATTTATATAAAGTTTTAAAAATATATAAAATTAGAAAATATAAGCAACCAAAAATATAAAACTTAAGACATAGCATTCTTTTTTTTTTTTATTAAAGATTTTTATTGGTGAATTGGGGGGGATGGGAACAGTGCTGGGGAATTGGGGGAAGGGGGACAGACAAGTTGCTGTCGTTTTGTTCTTCAGTCTAGTTGTGGAGGACGTTGCTTCACTGGCCCAAGTTGGCACCATCATTGCGCTCTTCCCAGGCGAGGCAGATCAGTCGCCGGCTTCTGGACGGCCGCTCACTGCGGCTGCTGGCCGCTCACGCTGGCTGCTGGCTACACACGGTAGCCCATGGCAACCCACTGCCACAGGGACTGCAGCCCACGCCGTCGCCGGCGACTCACAGCAGCCCAGCTCCAGGTTGAGCTGTTGTTCAGCATCTTAGCTGTAGAGGGCAGTGTCACTGGCCCTCATATGTGGGATCCGAACCGGGGCCCTCTGTCATCCCAAGCGAGTTCTTAACCATCGCGCCACTCGGCCGGCCCCCAAGTCATAGCATTCTTACTACCCAAATTACTGTACTATCATAGTATGTATTCCTCCATTTTTTTCTATGCATAAATTACATATTTTTTTTCTTTACTGATTGACATCACTTTCTATTCGCTATCTTGTAACTTACCCTTCTCTTCAATCATTGATTTCCACTTTTCTATTTCATTGGACCCCCATCTCATGTAGTGCACATACTATATTCAGATGTCTTTACTTGATGCCAAAATATTCTTTATAGCTGGTTTGTACATACAAGCTTCCAACCTAGGTTTGTGTGTAGCATCTGGTTAGACCATCCCTCTCCCCCTTGATTATGATGTTGATCTTCTGAAGAGACCAGGCTGTGGTCCTGCAGAATGTCCCACTCCCTGGATGTGTCGGGTTGCTTCCCTACTATGTTGTTTAGTTGTTCCGTTTCCTGTAAACAGAAGCTATAGCTAAAATGTTGATGATTCAAGTTAATTATTTGGAACTAGAATGTATCTTAAGTGATGTGATGCAACATGAATTAGAATGCATCAGAAGATGTATAATATCTGGATGGCTCACCACAATTGATGCTGAGATGGGTCCCTTGAGTGAGGGCAATGACAGTCTAATCCTTCCTTTGAAAGCCTTTCCAGTAGGAAGTAATCTAGTGTGTTATTATCTCAGCATTATACAAATGCTGTTTCCTTTCAGCCATTTCTGTACTGACGTACACACACTAATAATCCCTGAATCAATATTTTCATTAGAGGTTGCAAAATGACATTTTTCAAATTCTCTCGTTCCACATTTATTAGCTGGTGTTCCTATATAAAATAGAGCTTTTCCTTATCAAGTGGACTGTTCATTTACGCTGCAATGCATTTCCTACTGAAAAGTCAGGGAAATGCTTGATGCTTCCCTTTACTAATTTTCAAAGTAAAGAATTGTTTAAAGTAGCAATCTTAAATAGTAACATATTTTTTTTCAGTCCTTTGTTTTTTCAATAGCACTATGGATTTATGGGTTTTTAATTTATTATTTTTCAATCTTCTACAGTCAACTCTTTTTTATTTTCAAATTACCATCATTTTGTCCAGTTGTAGGCAGATTTTTAGTATATGAATCTGAAGCTCATAAGAGTTCTGGACCAAAGATATTAAATTGGGATTTATCAATGTTTAAATAGTGGCGCAAGTCACAAGAGTAGATAATACTCCTTCAGAAGAGAGTATAGGGTGAAAGCTAAGCAGCCCAGTTTAGAGATTTGAGTGACTTGCAGCATTTATAGAAAAAATCCTTACATATGGATTTGTGAATTTTTTCTTTTTTGAAATTTTTCTTTACTTTATTGCACATATTTTTGTGAAATGACCAGAAATTGCTAGTTAAATCCAAATGCTGTTTATTTCTATTCTAAACCTGATGATATTTGCTCCCTTCTTTCTGTTTTGATTTATTGTTTTTGAACTTGCATTTCATTTAGTCAAAATTTTTTAAATTTAGCTTTATGTAGAGTATACCCCATTACAGTATAAATGAAAAATAAAAATAAATTCCTAGAAACCTAGATCAAAGTCATCTATGATGACAGCATGATGATGATATGTGTGTGTGTGTGTGTGTGTAACACACACACACACACACACACACACACACACACATATATATATCAAATGTAGAAGGTAAAAGTAAATTATATTCAGGATCATTACTGGCTCTTTTTTCCCCTAAAAATGTATATTTTATGGACTACAACCTTTATTGGTAATACAAAATTTCCTATCATTACATAAGATGCTCATATTTTTTCATTTTCTATTGAGCATGTTTTTAACAAACATTTTGTACATATAAAAATTATATGGTATAATTAACATAACAATTTTAATAGGATTTGGTGGTAAGTATTGAATGATGATGACTGTGATGACACCAGTGGGAATGAAATCCAGTGCCTCCATTGTACCCCACTTGGAAATCTACTTTCAGTTTCCACTGAACATGCCACTTTAAAAAAAAGTCACAAAACTCTTATCAAGCTCTTCAAACCTTTTAAAACAAGGAATACGATATTGTTTGATAATTAAAAATATTTTTACAAAAAGATTCTATATGCATTTGACTTAACTCTTATTTGTGGATTGAATATGTGCCTTGGAAATTTTTAATACTCCACTGGGATAATGAGCTAAGTTATCTTTAATAACTTATTGCATGATAATTAATGGCTATTTTGAATCCTTACAGTCACTCTTGGAGGCCCATGATATTGTGGCATCAAAGTGTTATGATTCACCACCATCAAGCCCGGAAATGAATAATTCTGTCAATAATCAGTTATTACCAGTAGATGCTATTCGTATTCTTGGTATTCACAAAAGAGCTGGGGAACCATTGGTGAGTAGATAAATTGGTGCCTTCTTACATCTGAAATCTGACATACTTGTGGCTCAGTCATTACTCTTATTTTTTTCTCTTTCATAATTTGTATTATTATGAAAACTTTATTTGTGTTGGTTTTATTAGCCTTTTATGGTCTATGAATAAAATACAAAGCTGATGTACTCTCAACTTTATTTAGAATACAGAGTTAAACCAAAATAAAAAATTAAACTGAAATAGAGGCCAGAAGAAGTTTGCCAGTGGGTAGCAAAAATTTCAGAAGACAAGTGCTTCATTTTTTCCCTATACCCTTTGAAGAAATGAACTCAGGTTGCTGGCTAATGACAGTATCAAAACACAGAAGAAAGTTGTTATTAAAAAGTGAAAACATGGTAGGACTCTTTAAATAGTGAAGTTCACAATTTCCTGCTAAATTATCATTTCTGGGTCCTGATTATAAGAACAGTGAAATGGGAAAAAAGCCAGGAATAAGGCCATCAGAATGCACAACTCTCTTTTCTTATTCCTTTGAGCTTCCTTTTATCTTGTGGAATGCAGGCTAATCCATGTTTCATTTTTAAGGTTAAAGGGTGGTCTATGTTGTCACAGTTGCACATGGTTTAATGAGATTAGCATATTGAAACAGGAGAGAATATGGGAAAAACAGGAATGATTCACTTACCTGCTTTTAGATTTACTTTCTTATATGTATGAGCATGTTCATGAGTATTTAAGATTTTTTTCTAAAAATCTAAAATCAATGACAATTCCATTCCTTATTTCCTTTAGGGTGTAACATTTAGGGTTGAAAATAATGATCTGGTAATTGCCCGAATCCTTCACGGAGGCATGATAGATCGACAAGGTCTGCTTCATGTGGGAGATATCATTAAAGAAGTCAATGGCCATGAGGTTGGAAACAATCCAAAGGAGTTACAAGAATTACTGAAAAATATTAGTGGAAGTGTCACCCTAAAAATTTTACCAAGCTATAGAGACACCATTACTCCTCAACAGGTGAGTAATAAAATTTTTGGTAATATTAAGAATACTTTATTTCTTTAATCACACTGTTGAATATAACCACCAGTTGCTACTCTTTTGCTAAAGAAAAGAGAAAAAAAATCCAATTTAATTGTTTGAATTGCCTTATTTTGTCTTTCGTCTTGGGTGAAATTTTGAATTTTTAAACAATTAACATTTTAAAACAATTTACAGTAGTAAGCTATAAAGGAATTAGTAAAAAATCGCTTTGTGAATACCGTGAACCCTGCTATTTCAATTACGTACAGCTAGGTATCAGAAAAACCATAAAGCCTTTTAGTCATTAGTCTATCAAACATTTTGATACCTATTTTATGTTCCAAGTCCTGGGGAACATAAGAATGTAGTCCAATCACCTATAGCTTAGTGTTCATGTGATGGGCTAGAGGGTGGGTCCAGACTGAAAAGAATCTTGCACACCTGGTTTGTATACATTTGATCTGTATTTTTAAACAAATTTTTAGGTAAAATAGATTATTGAACAGGGGAATGTTTTAATGACAATGATCATTGAGCCGCATTATGTTGAGTGAATTTCAGAAAGAAGAGATGAGATTTGTGTAACCAGGCAGCAGGTTTTCGAAGGTGTGAGGTGATTTGTGAAAGACTCTAATGAAAGGTTGTGATGATTGCCTGGGCTCAAATACCAGTGCTGCTATTTAGGAGCTTATCTTCTCTGCTTCATTTTCTCACGCATGTAGTTAGGGATAATATTTCTTTTTGCAGAAGATTGTTTTGAGGATTAAATGAGTTCGTTCATGTAAAGCTCTCATGGAAGCACCTGGCACATAGTGCGTGCTTAACAAGTGGCTGCTGTTGTTGTGGTGATGGTGGGGGTGTGAGGTATTGTGAGGCAGTGGCATGTGATAGAATTGTAAAGAAAGAAACGTGATAAAGTAATTGCAAAGAAACAATTGACGATTATGGTAGGAGTGTTGGAACTGAGGAGAGGGTTTTCAAGACGAGACAATGTAGAAATAGGAAATATCTGCCAATGTATTAGATGCCTTTAATTGTTCAGGTTTATTCTAGAAATTTATTGTTTCATGTGTGAATGAAATTGTATGTTTTTTACCTAAGGTACTGCCAGTGTATTTTATTCTTATATTGTTGACATGAAAATTTTAAAGCCTAATTTTTATATTTCCATGTAATTCTTTGAAATAATATGTGTTGAATACCTGTTTTATATTGCTTATTGGAGGATGGATACAAATTTTAGTATGTAAACTGGACTTCTGAGTGAACATAGGCTTGTAATGCACTTTGGTTGAAATGAAGGTAGAGACCTTGTCGTCAAGGAAAAGAATCATGAAAGAAATGGTACTAGAAAATAGACATTTCATATCACCAGTATATTTCAGACTACCTTTATTCCTCAATTGCTACATTTCCATTTGGACCTGAATAGATTGGAAAAGTAGAACCTAAGATTTTTTTTTAATATTTTTTTTAATTTTTCAATTATAGTTGACATACAATATTATATTAGTTTCAGGTATACAACTACTAGTTGTTAGAAATTTGTATAACTTATGTAGTGATCACCCCGATAAGTCTAGTACCCATCTGACACCACACATAGTTATTACAGTATTATTGACTATATTCCACATGCTGTAGTTTATATGCCATGACTATTTTTATAACTGCCAATTTGTACTTAATCCCTTCACCTTTTTCACCCATCCCCCCAATCCAGTTCCCATCTGGTAACCATCAATTTGTTCTCAGTATCTATGAGTTTGTTTCTGTTTTGTTTATTTTGTTTTTAGATTTCACATATTAGTGAAATCATATGGTATTTGTCTTTCTCTTCTTTAAAAAAATTACGTTAGTTGTGAGAGGAAGATTCACACCCCACACACACATACTCCTCCCCACTCCCCCATGTTCCAAACTCCAGAATCCTTACAGCTCACCATGGTGTAATGGACTTTTACAGGAAAAGTATATTTTTGTAATATTAATAGCTAGGCTTTTGGCCCAAATTCCGTTGTAGATTCTGCACCTGGTGAACTGGTTGGAATGATGTGAAATTCAAGGATATTTAGCCCTATTTTAGGCATAAATTTTTCCCATCTCATGCCTTCTCAAACTGTGGTTTTTATTTAGCCTTTAGAATAGGGAGAGGGTATTGAAATGGAGAAGGAGAGGTCATCCAAGCCTAAGGCAGTGACAGGCCTATCCTACCATAAAAAAGGAAAGAGACTGTAACATGAAGGCTCCCAATGGGAGAGCTAAAACATATCCATATTGGGACATTTTTTAAAGGGAAAGGTGGAGTAATTACAAATTACTGGAATAATAGGCATAAATAAGGCCTGTCCTGGACAAGCTGTGGTCATCTTACTAAGGGACACCAGGGGGAAGGAGCAAGGGCATTTAGGCTTCAGGTCTTTCACTGAAGGTCCACCATGTTGTTCTGTTGGGCCTGCGTCAGCTCTTCCTCGTGATTGCTGGGAGAGCAGATGGAGGCCAGGAGCTCTCCCTACCCAGGGTGGTATTTTTCAAAGCATGGCCAGTAGGCCATCTCTATCAGTATCATTTGAGGCGCTTACTAAAAATCCCAAATATGTCATGAGACCTAAAGATTTATATATTGGGTTGTCGGAAAAGTCATGACGCATTTTTGCAACAAAAAACATAGAAAAAATATGTCATGACTTTTCTGACAACCCAATATTTAAATTTGAAGACCATGGTGACTTAGAAGTTGTAGCGAATTCTGAAGTTCTTCAACTTACATATAGGTTGGGTTCCCAAAGGCTGTTCATAATTCCACTTGTTCATGAAGGCCAAATTGGTAGGAATTCTTTTTAACTTCTTCTTTGAGACCAGCATGACCCAGGTGCCAAACATACTGTAAGAAAAGAAATTCAAGTGCCATTTCACTCAAGGATATACATGTAATATTTCTCAATGAAATATTAGCAAATGAAATGTAATGATGTTGGGTTGTCGGGAAAGTCATGACGCATTTTTGCAACAAAAAACATAGAAAAAATATGTCGTGACTTTCCCGACAACCCAACATATAAAAATGATAATACAACATGTCCCAGTTGGATTTATCTCATGTATGATTGGATGGTTTCACATTAGAAAATCCATGTATGTAACCAAGCACATTAACAGATTAAAAGAGAACAACCTCAATAGAAAATTTGATAAAATTCAATACCTGTTCATGATTCTTTTAAATAGATTAGTTAGGAATAGGAAAGAACCTCCTTCTTTTGCTTTTTTTTAGCTGAGTCATCCTGCCACCTGTTGGCAGCTCAGCTCGGGCCAGGAATCGAACCGGTGACCCTGTTGCTCAGAGCTTGCACACTTGAGCGAGCTCCTAACCAACTGAGCCACTTGGTCGACCCCGGAAATAACCTTCTTAATCTTACTTAAATAAATAAAACTAGAATAAACATTCTGAATAGTCAACTATTGAAAGCATTCCCTTTAAAATCAGGAGCTGGACCCCTCAGTTCATCTGTCCAAGATGACTTGAGTGCCAAGAAATACTTGCCAAATTTCAGTCATAAGTTGTGACTGGTGAAAAGGAACTGCCCCGAAATGATATATAGAGTAACAGATGATATAACAAATATCTGTTATAATCGATGGTACAAAAATCTTTAATTATCCTCAAAGAAACTAGAAATAAACGGTATCTCTGATATTAAAAAGCTAAGTATGTTTGCAGACCAGGGAATGGTGACCCACTTTAACAATACTAAAGCTCAGACATCTCTGGCAGCAAATGCTTTCACCATTACCAGCCATGCTGAGACAAAACAGCCGACAGAAATGCCACCCAGCATCTTAGGCCACCTTGGTGTCAGCAAGCTTAAGGACAGTGGCAGAAGCTGGATGGAAAAGCACCACTTGCTGTTGGGAAAGAGGGTGGTAATTGTTCAGCATTTTGATGAGGTTTCCAACAACAAGGCAAATGGAGTTGAACTTCTTTTTAAAAATAATAAAACTTCAAGAATTTTGACTGCTTGAAAAATTTTTTGTTTAGGATGTAATGAAATTCTGAAGCCCTTGGTCACTGCTGCTTTTTAAATTATTATTTATACACAATTATTTGTTTGCAGTTAATTAAGCCAAAGAAGCCAGAACATAAAGCTTAAAACAAGGAGTAATAGTCTTCGCCTAGTTAGAAAAAAAATTAAGAACTAGAGAACGATGTTCACTAGCATCACTTCTACCCAATATTTTATTGAAAATTTTATAAGCACAAAAAGACAAATATAAATTACAGAAGCAAAAGGTTTGGAAAGGAGAAAATAAAACATTATTTTCAAATAATAGAATTTTTTTCATAGAAACCCATCGAAACTTGAAATTAGTAGAAATAATAGAGTTTAGCAAGGTATTTGAAAATAAGATTAACATTACAAAAGTCAGTTGCGTTTCTATATGTCATGAGCCAGCATCTAGAAATGTAACTAAGACAGGCATCATTTGCAATAGAGTCAGATAATGTCACATTTATGTCCAGGAATAAATCTTAACAAAAATACAAAACTGCTACACACAAAAAAATGATGATGGAAGTCTGAATAAACAGAGATATATATCTTGTTCATTGACAGAAAGACAGTATTGTGAAAATGTCAATTTTCCTCAAATTGACTTGTAGATTCGATGAAATTCCAATAAAAATTCCAATAGGGTTTTTCATTATATTTGATAAGATGAATAGCCAAGACACTTCTGAGTCAGAAAAGCAGAAATAGGGGCTTATTGTTAAGGTGTAGGAATTAAGATGTTATGGTATTGGCGTAGGAATAGACAAATGATCAATGGAATCAAGAGTTCAGAACGAGACCTACAAACTTATATTACTTTGATATGACAGAGATGATATGCCTTTAAGTGAGAAAAGGAGAGACTATTCAATTAATGAACTTGGTGGTTCATAGGGATAATATATGAAGCTGTGTTTGTTTCACTCTACAAATCAAGTGGGAGGAGACACACGGTCAGTAAATGTGAAGAGAGATTAAAAATCACAACGTGAGATGCCATTTCATAACATTCAGTTGGCAAAAAAATGTAAGTGTGAATCCACGGTATCTCTCCTACATTGCCGGTGGCTGTGTAAATTGGTATAACCACATTAAGGGGGAAATTTAGCATTATCAGAATTGCATGTTCACATATACCAAGGCAGCAATTTCCTAGAGCAATCTTACATATGTATGGCTGGAAACATATTAACAAGTATGTAAATCCCAAAAGATTACATGCATACTCTTATAGCATGATACTATTTTTAAGTTTAAAGTAACTAAATATATACTTTGAAAGAGCACACATACATGCAATAAAACTGTACAGAAGGAAAGCAAGGATTTTGTGAACACAGATGCAGGGTGAGGGTTACTGTGGTCAGGGAATCCAGGCTGATGGAGTGGAATGGAATGTGGGCAGGAGGACCACGGAGGCGTCTCACCTGTTCCAGGTGGCGAGCTCATTATATTATTGAAACTAATGAAATAAATAAATGCAGGCCTTGCATGGGCCTGATTTCATTGTAATGTAAATTAATTAAGGATTATTATTAGTATAATTCTGAGCAGCCTAGGTTAGTGGATTTTTTTTGTAATAATTTTTTTTTTTTTTTGATGAACAGAAACTTAAATCTGTGGCCTACAGATGGATATTTACCAAAAAGTAGTGTGAATTGCCCCTCAAAACTTTTTTAACCAAACGTATTCTAGTCTCCTTGCTGACCTCAAAAGTGTATGTGTATGTATATTTAACTGAAGGGCCAAGTTCAAACACTTACAAATCTTTAGAAGAACAGTATCCTTCCCTGATTATCTCTGCTGTTGTCATAAAGAATTTCTTAGCAATTCTGATGTGCACCTCAGATGGACCTGAAGCTATGGTTTGAGACTGAGGGTGTGTAAACAACACTTGTACCATGTGCAGTCAACACGTTCCCAAGCAAGTTACCAGCCACTTTCTGATTTAACATAACATAAGGACCATGCGGGAGCTGTTTCTTCAGCCATTTCATCCATTTGATTTCTTTTCTCCTACTGATGATTGTCATTTGCATAAGCATAGCATATCCCTGTACTATTTTATTTTCAATTTTACAGTTTTTATCTTTTGCCTCAGAAATCTTTGCGGTAAAGTTTATATAGCATATATTTAAAGTGTACAATTTGATAAATGTGGACATGTATATGTACCCATGAAACCATCAACACAATCAAGACAATGAACATATCTATCACCCCCAGAAGTGTCTTGCGTCCATTTGTATATTCTTCCATCCTGCCCCCTTCCCCGCCACTGCCCACTTGTTCTGGGCAAGTACTGCTCTGTTTTCTGTCACTAGATTAGTTTACATTTTCCATATTTTTATATAAATGGAATCATACAACGTGAATCCTTTCTTTGGTTTTGCTTTTTTTCTTTTTTTTTTTTTAAATCTGGCTTCTTTCACTCAGCATAATTATTTGGGGATTCATGATTTTATGTGTATCAATAGTTGATTCATTTTACTGACAAGTAGTGTTGCATTGCATGGCTACGCGTATACCACAGTTTGTTTATCCATTAGTATTAGTTAATTGGCTGAAAACATTTTTGTTGTTTCCAGTTTTGGATAATGAAGGATGCTGTGGACATTTACATGTAAGTTCCTTAGGTAAATACCTAGGAGTTAAAGTACTGGTCATATGGTAGGTATATGAGGAACTTTTAAAGAAATGGCCAAACTGTTTTCAAAAGTGGCTGTACCAATTTATGTACCCACCAGTGTTATATGAGAGTTTCAATTACTGCACATCTTCACCAATGTTTGGTATGGTCAGTCTTTATAATTTTAGCCATTCTGCTAGGTGTGTAGTGGTATTTCATCATGATTTTAATTTGCATTTTTTTATTAGTTTCTTGATTGATTTTTCTCCACGTTTTAGGTTATTTTTCTGCTTATTTGCATGTCTGGTCATTTTTGATTGGCAGCCAGACATCATAAGTTTTACTTTGTTAGTACTGGATATTTTTGTTTTCTTAGAAATATTCTTAAGCTTTGCTCTAGTTATACTTCCATTACTTGGGAGTAGTTTGATCCTTTCAGATCTTGATTTTTAAACTTTGTTCGGTGCAACCAGTGCAGGATTAAGTGTAGGGTATAACCCTTCTGAATACTCAGTGCCTCATGAATTATGAGGTTTCCCCACTCATCCTGGTGAAAACAGAGACTATTACTGACCCTGTATGATCTCCTGATATCATTCCCAATAACGCTGGGTTTTTATGTAGCCTGGGATAGTGTCCTCATACACATGCACTGATCAGTACTTAGCTGAAGACCAGATTGAATCCCTTGCAGTTCTCAAGCCCTTCCTCTGTGCGTCCCTTTCCTCAGTGATACTCTGTTCTCTGCCCTGTAGCCACCTTGGTCTCCCAGCTTATCTTTTCAACTTGGAAACCACCAGGCTCCACCCAGATTCTCCCTTCCCAAGCTGGAACCTGGAAACTTTCTCTGTACAGTTAGCTGGAGCAATTGCATAGCTCATCTTGCTTGTTTCCACTTTTTAGGAATCACTGTCTTCATTGTCTGATGTCTTGAAAAATGTTTCATATATTTTGTTCAGTGTTTTAATTTCAGGCTGGAGGGTCTTTGATACTTCATTTTAGTCAGAAGCAGGAGTTATTTTATCTTTTATTACTATAAACATTAAATGTTTCAATAGGGGTATCGTTCCCATGGTTCAAAATTCAAGAAATATAAATTTGTATTCAGTTGAAACCTCCCTCCTAATCCTCTACCATTCTAGTCCTCACTCCCCCTGTAAGATATCATGCTATTAGTTTATCTTTCCGGAGTCTCTATTCATATGCAAGTAAGTAAAAATTACATATTCTTTTTCTCCTTCCACCTCCTTTTTTATGAAAAGATTACACAGTATACACATTCTGAACCTGTGTTTTTTTCACTTTACCATGTTATCTTGAGGATCTTTTCTTTTGGTACATAGTCTGCCTCTTGAAATACACCCCTCCATCCTTTTTTAACATCTATATAATGTTATATAGATTTACCATCATTTGTTTACCCAGTTTCCTATTATTAAATAATTAGGTTGCTTCCAGTCTTTTCAGATTAGGAATAATTTAGTAGTTAATAGTCTTCTGTCTACATAAAACACTTTGCGTATGTCTGAGTAACATTGCTATCGAATACATTCCCAGAGGTGAATTGCTAGGTGAGAGAGTTTTTGCATTTGTAATTTTGATAACTATTGCCAGATTATCCTCCCAAAGGATTGAACCAGTTCTTTCACCAACCTGTTTGGAAAGTGAGTATTGGCCCATAGTCCTAGCCAGAGAAGATCAAATATTTGGATTTCTGCTAGTCTGACAGAAAGAAAATGTTATCATAATATAGTTTTAATTTGTATTTCGACTCTGAGTGAAGTTGAATATCCCCTCCCATGTTTAAAAAGCATTTGTACTTCCCTTTCTCTCTTCCATCTACTTTACTTTAAATTATTGGTTATCAGCTCTTTTTTTTAGTGATAAAAATGTGAGATTGAAATATTTTATTAGGTTGTGCTTAGTAATTTCTTAATAACATGAAGAGTTAACATCCATAGCCTATTACTGAAACACTTTAAAATGCACTTAAAATGTAATTACACCGAATCTAGTCAAATCTCTAATGATTTAAGGTCATTACAGAAAGGTTGGGTTCATTCATTTTTCAGATAAATTTTTAAAGTTTAAAGTAAAACCAGTTTAATCTGAGTTTTTGAGCATGAGATTAATTCTGAAATTAATTTGATAAATGAAAAATTAAAAATTGTTCCTTTTAGAAATATTTTACATTTGAAAGATACGGTTTTTGTTCCACGAATAATGGTATTTCCAGAACAATTTGATGGGAGTAGGGGAATGAATATTTGAAATTTGGACTAACTCAGAAAGTCTGAGCTTTATGGTTACAAAAAAAATTCAGTCCCACCGATAAGAATGATAGACGTATTCATGGTTAGATGACAGGATGCTCTTGATAATTCATTCAGTGCAGCTTTCTTGAAAAGTAAGGAGCCATCCAAGTATTTTTACTTTGCATACCCATTCTTTTTTTTTTGCCTCATCTCAAGCACCTCTTTTTACTTTTATCATTTATAAGTTTCAGGTATTATAATCTATGGTCAATTATTTAGGGAAGTAGTTGCTTTATCAAATGAGTGAAGTAATAAAATGGGCCAGTAGTTTGTTTATATTTTGTTAATTTATTATCAGTTTAAAGCCTGGCTTTATTTATGCAATGAAAAATATGTTTTTAGAGTTGCATCAATATGGAGAGGCATCCAGCGCACGTCCGTCAGGTATGATGTCGTTCCAGGACATTCTCTGGCACCCTGTGTTTCTGTCCTATCAGCAAACTAAATGTACCTGGATTAAACTTAATCATTTTGGGCTTTTCCCATTGCCAAAACATTGAGCTGCATGCCATTGTCAAGTTAGCCAATTGCCACATTTTAGGCAGTCTTAATATTGTTTGTATGCTTGCTTCTTAGATATTTCTAAAATTGTATATCAAAAAAGTTATGGCTTACTGATTTTTTTTAAGCATTAATATTTGGCCTTTCCAGAGTTATAAAAATAGTTTTTTATCAAAATCATTTAATTGTGTAAATAACTAAAATTTTGTCACATGTTCACAAATTATTTTTATATGCATCCATCACATTACATTTTACTACACTAATATAATGTATCTAGTTGTGTTATTTGAATAGCTTGTGTGGTTATATTTATAGAAGTATGATAAATGGAAAAATAACATTATTTTAACTAATTATGTACTTTCCTGCTTGTTATATGCTAAGTCAATTCTTTAGAAGATAACATTTGAATTTCTAAAATATGCATGAAAAGAGTTTGTTTTAAGAAAGTGATTGGTGTGAACTTTTCATCAAATACTGAAAATGCTTAATTTAATGAGAACTCAAAGTGAATAAGCAAAATATTCTAGATATTGTAGATCATAACTAACTGAACTCACATACTTTTATTGAGAAATCAGATTTAAAAGGCATTTGTATAGTTGAGTATATTTAAATTGGGAAATAGATTCACGGCTTTTTCAGTATTTGTCTTACAATTAATTTAATGCTGATCATTTAAATTAGAGCAAGATGATACCAGAAAGGTATTTTCCACACTAGTTTTGGCTAATGTAAATCTATGTGATTAAAAAAAATGCTATTACCAGGGATGAAAGTTGGGATTTTAATTTTTTTTAAGGTCACTAAATATATTTCAGGTCTGACTTCAACATGAACTTTAATTATTTAATTTTGGTTTCAGGGCCTTTTCAAAAAGTCAGTCCTAATATATCTGAAATATATGCCTTAAATCAACTACATATATTGTCTCAGGATGTTAATTAGAAAGTAGCACTTACTTGCATAAAAATTATGCAGTGTTGGTTGGAAAATCATGTGAAGATTTGGGGGAAGTTTAAGGATGGTGAAATTAAATGATTATCAAACTCTGAATTCAAAATGAGAAGTTAAAATAGAAATGAAATTTTAATGTGCTACTAATGTTTATTTCATATTTTCTTTTCTGATACCAAATTACTAATGTTGTAATAATTTAATTTTTATTTGAGAGCGATAAGTTCCTTAGTTGGAGTACTAACTACATTTGTCAATTACAATAAAATCACAGTGGTTTAGAAAATATTTCACAAATCCAGTGACAAATGATAACATTTGTAATATTTTTAATTGTGTTCTGTGTTTTAGGTATTTGTGAAATGTCATTTTGATTATAATCCATACAATGATAACCTGATACCCTGCAAAGAAGCAGGATTGAAGTTTTCAAAAGGAGAAATTCTTCAGATTGTAAACAGAGAAGACCCAAACTGGTGGCAGGTTAGTATGCTTCTCAAAATTTTCTCAGCTACTTTTTTATTTTCAATCTTCTATCTGACCAATATCTAAATATTCAGGAAGAAGGTATTAACATTTGTTTCAATGATTTTTCCTGCATGAGCAGCTCCTGCTTCAGGGCTGCTAATTTTGTAGAAAGAAGACCAAATTGGGAGGGAATTTGTAAGTAGCTGTTAACGAATGCAGAATTAACTAGCCTGTGGTACCATCCCACCCCATTGGTTTAGGGATTAGACCAATTGGTTCTTCTACGTGGGTGACTACAGTAAGATACAGAATTGGTCAAGAACAACGCAATTGGGGTCATCCCTTTTCAATGTCTGCTTTGTTTGTTTCAAGTCTTTCCTTGTGGTTGTAGTAGTCTTTGGCCTGTCTCCTCTTCTTCTATACATTTATGGCAAATAAAACAGAATTTCTTAAGCTCTTAAATCTATTTGCCCACCTCTTCTCAGTTAGTGAAAAACGAAGGTTTGCTTTATCACTAGTGTTGTCTTTGGTCATGTATTGAAATCTGTGTATATGGATAGGGATGTGTGTCATCACTGTATTCCCGCCTCCCTTCCGTTTTCCAGAAGATCTTTGTGATGATGTTCTTTTTCCTTTCCCCTAATACAGCTTTCAGAAATCTCTAGCAGCAGCAATAAGTCTGTTCGTCATTGTTTACATCAGCTAACACCCACAGTATTCAGAACTGGAGAAACTGACAAATCAGAAAGTTTAAAATCCCTTAAACTGTCAGAACCCATGAGAATCTCATTAAAGAACAAGCTGTGAGAGAAAAGGACCCAGGCCCTAGCACTAAACTCTAAATTAAACTGAGATATCAGTAACTCACATTAGCTCTAATAACTTATATTGACTTCTAAAGGGAAATGAATGATAAGAATGAGAACAATATTACTGTGTCTTTAAATTAAGACATTATTATGTACAAGTGCACTATATAATGAAAGAACTAGGAAATGAGCAAATTATCTAGAATTCATAATTTCAAGAGGTTTCCACTGAATTTCTTAGAATGCTCATCTAAACAAAATCTGCTTTCTGTGGCTGTTTCCTTTATAGAACTTGTCTATTTTCCCCCCCTTTCTGTGAATGCCATCTCACACTTTCTCTTCTAATTCTGTCATCATTATCTCAGTTTCTTCCTGCAATTTGTGTTCTATTACTTTAATTCTGTTTTTCAGGATTTTAATTGCTAAAGATATACCAAATTTTTTAATGCTAGCTATAAGGATAAAGTCACTAACTTCATGGGATAAGACACTAGCAGCCAGTTCTCCAGCCATTATTCTAATACCACACTTTTTTGGATTTTATTTGAAAAGTTAGTTTCTTGACAGTAGGTGAAGTTTGACCTATTTTAAACATAATACCTCTCAGGATATTCAGATTCCTGGGGGCATGACTTAAACTCTCCACTGTGTTTTCCCAGTACTGTCTTTTTCTTTGATTTGGCCTCAGGAAATACCAACATGTTAGGATTAAGTTTGATAGTAAATACCTGACTACAGAATGCCAGATGGAATATCCTGTGAACGCATAAAATAGCATTTATTCCGTTCTTTGACTAATTTAGGATTGTAAATAAAAAGTTTTACTAATTTAAAAGAGCCTGTCTATTTTTGTATTTTGGTTCCCAAATTTCCCTACCAGGTGGGGGATTGATTAGATGCCAGTTGATTCCTCAGTGCTAAAGTGTTTAAATATCTTAACTTGACAATGCCATGGATTGAAATCTCAAGGTCAGTTTTTAAGAGCAAATGTGGTATATATATTTTTTACTGACTACTGCTTGTCCTACTTTTTAGATTATGGTCTCAAATTTTGGTCACTGAGATATACAATTCATTAATTTGATTCTAGGCTAGCCATGTAAAAGAGGGAGGAAGCGCTGGTCTCATTCCAAGCCAGTTCCTGGAAGAGAAGAGAAAGGCATTTGTTAGAAGAGACTGGGACAATTCAGGTGATGAGCTCCGCACAATAAGTCACAGCGGTCCTTTGTGGCCACCTTTCTTTGCCTCTTTCATCTGAATTAGCAAATGAATTTATTTAAAACCTGTCTAGAATTAATCCCTCCCATCTACTTGATCATATCTCTCTCAAAAGTAAACTTTTTGATCCCTTTCTGCCACCTGCTGGTATGGTGTCAGAATTCAGTGGTTCAGCTGCCCCCTTCTGCTTTGTAGGATCCAACACTGGGAAGGCAATTCTCCCACCCCTATAGAACACCACAGGGCAGTTTTATCATGTTTTTACATACTGTTTAAGTTACATTTGTCTTGTCATCCTTCAGGACCTTTTTGTGGAACCATAAGTAGCAAAAAAAAGAAAAAGATGATGTATCTCACAACCAGAAATGCGGGTATGTTTGAAATACGTTTTGAGAAGCTTGAGTGAAGTAGTTTTATACTGTTGATCAGTGTGACATAAACTCTCCATGTACAATTTTACATGAATATAATTCAGATCAGTACCCAATTGCAAGGGGTTGGCATGTCAATGCATGGTAAAATATAATGTAAAGACATTATTTAAATTCTGGTATTCTATATACTTATACTATCACCAGTTTGCTTTATCTTATGAGTATAGTTTGCAATAAAATGAATTGGTTAGGATGTATGCATGTATTAATGAAGGGGCAATGTTATAATTGAAACTATTTGTTCAGAGAACTTTGATAGTAATTTATGTCATTTCTAAAGAGCAAAATGCCTTTATGAAGATATTTAAAGAGTTATGATTAAGGGCAACTATATACTCTGCCATAACATTGTCCACGATACGTTTGGAGAAATGGTACTGGACCAGATCAATCTTAGTCTGATCTAGTACAATTCTTCCTTAAATCTTTTAGCCTTAAGGAAAGACAAATATAACAACTACTATAGTTATTCTTCTCAGTTATAGAGACTGATAGGAGTGAAATGCAGCTCTGAATCAGAGGCTCTGGAGGTTTACTCAAAGGAACTGATAGTTTTAAAGTGCTTCTTGACTTCAGAGCTGCCTCTCTGCTGGTAATAAAATAAATAGCATACAATAAAGGAAATAATATAATAATATATTCTATAATATTGATAATAATGAGAAAATAGACTCTCCCTTAATATTAATTTAATGTACTGTGAAGAAATTGTGCACAGAAAGAGTTGCTGTTAAAATAATAACCTAAGGAAGAAATGTATTGCTATAGACGGAGAATTATAGCCAGAATAATAGGTAATATACTTCAAATTCACTTGAGCCTTATTATTCATTAAATATATGTCCTTAAAACTTTATTGCAAAATAGAAAATTCATAACTTTCCCATTGACTCAGATTATAATTTTGGAATGTGTTTCTACTGAAAATAATTTGGATCCTGTATTTTATTTTATATATAAATTCAGAATCTTAATATTTAAATGTCAGTATATTGTCTATATGCATTTTATTAATCAAACTGATATTTGCAGAGTCACCAGACAGTATTTATTCATTTATGTCACTGGAAGGACATACTCATTCCATGGAACGAACTTAAGCAGCCAGGCTGTGGGCACTGCTGTCCTCCGTATTTGATGCACACTTTTTAGCGATATAAATTATATAAACTATTTGTTATTTGATTATATTAAAGGAATTCCAATGAATTGATAAGAAAGGGATTTTAATGGATAGACTATCTGATAAGAAGAAAGCACAGGCGCTTTTCTAGCTTGGCTAGACACATTTTTAAGGGCAAATGGATGGAAACTGATGCTTAAATCAAAATATAAAATAATTTATCATACTTTATCAAATGTATAAAAACAAATCTATACTGAGTACAATTCAAATGATATTTAACTATTAAGACACCCAAGCCATTACTGAACAGAATAGCAGAGGTTTTTCATCCATACAAAAGATAACCGAATATGATGTTTTTCATTTTCTTTTCCATTTAGAATTTGATCGTCATGAAATACAAATATATGAGGAGGTAGCCAAAATGCCTCCCTTCCAGAGAAAGACATTAGTATTGATAGGAGCTCAAGGTGTAGGACGAAGAAGCTTGAAAAACAGGTTCATAGTGTTGAATCCCACTAGATTTGGAACAACAGTGCCATGTAAGTTTTTTGTGTGTGTTTTCTTTGCTATTTAATTGACAGGAAAGTGTAGTGGGGGCAGATTATTATTATTTTTATTCCCAAATATTATGTCAGTGAAAACGAACAAGTAGAGGATATTGGAAAATTCAATGACTACAGCTGTCTTGACATAGCGCTCCTGCCCTGTTGGCACACTGCCTGGTAGCAGTTGCTTCTCCAAACTCTTCAGTCCAGAAATGTTAGTTAAACGCAAGTATCAAGAGTTGTGGCAAAATCAGCATTAATTTTGTGCTTTCTTTTGCATCTGACATCTATCTGAAAAATTGTATTTTTCACCCATTTTAGTGTAAGGAAAGGGGAGAAACCTGCTGGATCCTCAGGCACTTCCCAGTGTGGCGATCCCTTAATGAATTGATGTGATTTGGCTTGTAGCTCTCAGCCCTGCAGGGTCATAAACCTGATTTTTGACAGCACATCAAGAGCAATTCATCTTCCAGAGCAGGCAGCATTAATTAAGGTCACAAAGTTTGGTACAGAAAATAAAATAATACTGCTGGGAAGTATAACCATTAAGTGAACCAAACATTCATTTTATGATCTTTGCATTCTTTCCCTATTTGCATATTTATATGGGAAGTTCAGTAATGCTGTCAGAAGCATGCTTGATGAAAATGGCATTAGATCAAGGAATTAGATGATATCCCTGACTTCTTATAAGGACTAATATACATTTGTCCTTATTTTGAAGATGCATGTACCTCCATTTGTGGGAACTTAACATGCTCTGTCCCCTAAACAATGCAGGAGACAAGCCAGTGTTGCCTTTATAGCTCCCCTTTCTGTGCTTATGTTGTTGACCAAACCCCTTTTTGATTAACACAGTATTTCTTTAGGTACCGTATGTTAATATCTTTAAACTGTTCTGCATCAAATCTTAGCCTAATGTCACTCCATCTCGTTTGGATGAATTTTAGAGTTTCTGTGCTTTCACCCAGTATGTTTTGAGGTTTAATTCTCAGTGAACAATCTTACTGCTAAAATTGTTAGGGGCTGGTTGGGGGAGTAACTTTATCATTGCCCCCATGTGCTATTTGTAATCCCTTCGGGATAAGGCTTTGGATTCCATTGTAGGCACAATAAATCATTAAATTCAGACAAATCCTAGTTAAGTAGTTATAAAAACCTCACTGTGATCAAAGTACTTTAAGTATTTTATTTTTCATTTTTGTCAAATTAATACATGTACGGTATATTTTAATCAAGTAGTCCTTAAAGACATATAATGGAAAAAATAGCCCCCAGTCTTCCTCTTCTTCACCTCTGGCCTACTTACCAGAAATAGTTGCTTTTTATCTTTTCTGCTACTTTTTTTTGGTAGTCTTCCTTATTTCTTAATAACGTCCTCATTCTGCTGTTTCTTGCTTTATTCAGTATAGACCTCACCCCTGACTGCCTGCCCATCCTCCTGATAGAGAGCTCTAGTTGCCATTAATTCAGTTCTGCTTTCAACAGCCTCTCCCTCTCCTCCCACCCAGCAATCACTAGACACCTTTTTTTCTTCCCCTCTGTACCTTGATTTTATGTATATATGTGTATAGTTTTGTTTTAAACCAAAGACTCACTTGTCCATGAAGCCGTGTTGTTTGATCGAAGCCCTCTGTCTCAGAGCCTCAGTCCGCTGCTCGCCTCCGGCCGCCCCACCGTTAGCACGGAGACAGCTCCCTCCCGCTTGCTGCGGGTGTGGGGGGCAGCTGTTGTTCCTGGGGCTCCCTCTTTCCTGGTTTATGGCTTTGTTTTGCTGGGCACCTTCATCCTCTTGTAACTTCACAAGAAATGGTGTGTGGGATGTAATTTCTGCATCTTTGTATTTGAAGATGTATATTTTCTGCCCAATATTTGATTATGTCACTGAGAATAGACATTCTAGATTGTAAAACTCAAAAGATGTTACTTTTGAACCCAGTTCTGTTTAGAAGTTCAGTGCCATTCTAATTCTTGTTATTTCATACGTGACCTGATTTTTCTTTCATAGATATTCAGGGTCTTTTGTTTTATTTTGTTGTTTTTCAGTATTTTGAAATTGAATAATGATGTGCCTTCTTAAGCATATTTTCTAACTCATTGTGTGTGCTGATGATGAGTAGGCTTTCTGTCACAATAAATTTGCCTATCTGGATGTTTCACAGAAGTGCGATTATACAATATGTGGTCTTTTGTGATAGACTTCTTTATTTAACATAATATTTTCAAGGTTCGTCCACATTGCCGCAGGTATTGGTACTTAGTTTCTTTTTATTGCTAAATGCTTTTCCATTGTATGGCTGTACCACATTTTGTTTATCCATTCATCAGTTGATGGACATTTGGATTGCTCTATTTTTCTAGCTATTATGAATAATGCTGCTATTTAACACTTATTTACAAGTATTTATGTGGACATACATGTTTTGTTTTTCTCAGCTATATACCTAGGAATGGAATTGGTAGGCCACATAGTGACTCTGTGTTTAACCTTTTGAGAAACTGCCACATTGTTTTCTACTGTGGCTATACTATTAATATTTTATACTCCCAGCAATGTATGAAGGTTCCAATTTCTCTACATCCTCAACATTTGTCATCTGACTTTTTGATTATTGTTATCTTAGTAGATTTAAAATTGTATCTCATTGTGGTTCTGATTTGCATTTCCCTAGTGGCTAATAATGTTGGGCAACTTTTCATATATTTTATTGGCCATTTCTTGATCTTCTTTGGATAAATGTATAGTCAGATGAATTGTCCATTTTTCAGTTGGGTTGTCTTTTTTTTTGTTGTTAAGAGGAGTTCTTTTTATTATCTGAATACAAATCCCTCATCAGATATATGATTGCAAATATTTTCTCCCATTCTGTAGGGATTTTTAAATTTTCTTGATAGTGTCCTTTGCACAAAACTTTTTCATTTTTCTAAAGTTCGGTATTATATATCTTTTTATTTTGTTACTCATGCTTTTAGTGTCATACCTAAGGAGGCTTTGCTTAATCTGAGGTCACAAAATTTTTATACTTTCTTCAAAGAGTTTTATAGCACTAGTTCTTATATTTAGATTTATGATCAAGTTTGAGTTAATTTTCGCATAAAAGTGAAAAGAGGGTTCAACCTCATTCTTTTGCTTGCAGGTATCCAGTTGTCCCAGCACAGTTGATTGAAAGACTATTCTTTCCTCCATTGAATTGCCTTGCCACCCTCGTAAAAAATAAATATGAAGATGTACTTATGGACTCTCAGTCCTGTTTCATTAACCTATATGCTTATCCTTGTGCCAGCCCCACATTGCATTGATTACTGCATTTTTGTAATTTCAAAATCAGAAATTGTGAATCTTCCAAATTTGTTCTTTTTCAAGATTTTTTTGGCTATTCTGGGTCCCTGGCATTTCTACTTAAATTATGAAGTAGGCTTTCCATTTCTGCAGAAAAGGTAGCTAGGATTTTGACAGGGATCTGTAGATCAATTTGGGGAGTATTGCCTCTTAATAACTTTAAGTCTTCCAACTCAGAACTTCTGCAGAGTCAATAGTAATATCCCCTCTTTCTTTCCTGATTTTGATCATTTGACCCCTCTTTTCTTGGTCAGTCTACAGAAAGGTTTGTCAATTTTGTTGATCTTTTCAAAGAATTAACTTTTGCTTTTGTTGACTTTGTATATTGTTTTTCTAGTCTCTATTTCATTTATTTCTGCTATAACCCTTATTATTTCCTTCTTTCTGCTTGTTTTGTGTTGTTTGCTATTTTTTCCATTTTGTTTAGGTGGAAGCTAGGTCAGGTTTCAGACCTTCTATAACATAGTCATTTACAGTTATAAAGTTCCCTATAAGCACTGCTTTAGCTTCATGTCGTAATTTTTGGTATTGTTTTTGTTTTCATTCATCTCAAATATTTTCTGATTTCAATGTGATTTCTCATTTGATCCATTAATTATTTAAGAGTGTATTGTTAATTTCCACATATTTTTTGAATTTCCCAAACTTCTTCTGTTACTGATTTCCAATTCATTCCATTGTGATCAGAGAACATTAAGACTTGTTTTATGACCTTAGGTGTGGTCTGTCCTGGAGAATGTTCCAGGTATACTTGGGAAGAATGTGTATTCTGCTGCTGTGGGGGTGGAATGTTGTATAGATGTCTGTTAGGTTAGGTGGTTTAAAGTGTTGTTTAAGTCTTCTATTGCCTTGTTGATCTTATTCCTATTTGTTCTCTCCATTATTAAAAGTGGGATATTGAAGTCTCCAAATATTGTTGACTTATCTATTTCTCCCTTCAATTCTGTGAGTTTTTGTTTCATGTATTTTTGGGCTCTTGTTAGATGTGTATGTGTTTATAATTGTTTGATCTTCTTGTTGAATTGACCCTTTTATCATTATAGCATGTTCTTCTTTGTCCCTAATAACAATTTTTGTTTTAAAGTCTATTTTGTCTCATATGAATATAGCCACTCCAGCTCTATTTGGGTTACTGTTTGTGTGGTATATCTTTTCTATTTTTTTACTTTCAATCTACTATGTCTTTGAATCTAAAGCATGTCTTTTGTAGACAACATATAATTGGATCATGTTTTTGTAATCAATTCTGCCAATCTCTGCCTTTTAATTGGAATCTTTTATCTATTTAATGGAATTACTGATAATGTAAAAAATGTGCCTCAATATAGGTTTACCTGATTATTTCCTCGTGATTAGTACCAAATTAATTTCCAGAAAGATATACTATTTTACCTTTCAACAGATTTTTAGTTCTGGTAAAGATTGAAATCTGAATTTTTATATTGGAAGATTTATATATATCCATACATCAAGTCACTTCTAGTTTCTCTTTAAATCGTTTGCATTTATATAGTATCTAGCTTTCCTTAAGCCTCAGAATAGATGCAAAAAAGAAACACTGTTATAAAGTGTGACAGGCTTGCCTAATTTCTGATACATGATATTGTGTTACACATTGTCAGATAGTATAGATGGGGAAGTCTCATAGGGAAGGACATAAATGCTGGCATTGTATTAAATTGATTTAACTTTCTTTATAAAATGATCCTAAAGTAAAATAGAAAAAATTGTTAATCCAGAGAGATAAGTAACCTTATCAATCCTGTTTTCTCTTTAACATTGACATCTTGAAAGCAACAAATAAAATGTTGCTCTTTTGATTGTTTCTTCATTATTTGAAGAACTGCTAAAATTTATAATTTTGTCTATCAGTTACAAAAATTAAACTAAGAAATCACATTACTTAATTGCTTAGCATATATAAGCCTAAGAAATCAGTTGTAGTCAAGCCACCCTGTCCTAATTTCTCTTTTCTGGGAATGAAAATGGGCTTAAATATGTGGCAATATAGATTTCATTTTTGAGTGTTCAGTAGAGAATGGGTTTGTAGTTAAAGTTCCCTTGTAAACTAAAACCGCTTCACTAAGAATTAAGATCCTCAGCATGCTGAGGTGACGATGGGGCAGTAGTGTGCCTATACCTGTGCGTTTCAAGCAGCACAGTCCCATATATGGTTTTACTGTAGAGCTTCACCAAAAAATAGTACTGTTCTAAAGTTATGTTCACAGATACTGAGCCAAGTTCTAGTATGTATTTATCTGGGGAGTTTAAAATTGCGTTAGAAGTTTTATCAGACCACCTTTGGTGAATAATTCTAGAAACCTTAGAGATCACACATTTTGTACTATGAAACGTCACCACATCTTGAAGATCTTTAAGTTACTTTATAAATGCTCTGCACAATGGTCTGGGATGATCCCCTTCAAGGTTGAGCCAGAAACAATGGGGAAAAAGGGAGTCCTGTTGCACATAACGATCTCATTTTTGAATTGCACCCTTATTGTTGAGCTTGAGTTTGAAGTTCATTTTGTTCTTATAAAAGTTTTCTTGATGTGCTTTGCTTATTACAAATAGTCAAAATACCATCTACTTTTGATCTGATTACTTCCTCATTTTAATTGTATATATTTAATGATTTCATCAAATATTCTGCATGCAGAAGTACTTGATTAGAAGTTGAATACTTTTTTATATCTGACTTAGGCAAATTAAGATTAAGGCTAAACTTGAAAATAACATACACACACAAATTATTTCTCTTCTTCCAAGCTAGTATTAACCAGCTGGCAGACAGTACCAAACTCGGCACTTTTGCAACAGTTTGAAAGGTGATAATAGTCCATTCCTAGCATGGCCCAAGTTGCAAAGGAGTTGTAAGTCTCCGGCCATACTTAGAGCTCTAAAATATCATACAAAAGGATCTCCTAAATTTTGACTTGGTCTATTCATTTTCATTCTCTTGGAAAGAATATACATGTCAGGTCAGAGTAGAGAAAGTTAATAGACTGTAATAACTTTGAGGTAGCCAGCTCCACCACTAAAGTGAAAAATAGAACAATTAACGGTTGGGAATATCATCAATAAGCTGGAAGCTAAAAGAAAGGTTTGGTGTTGAGATGAGATAAAGGATAGATAACTTGTGGGTGAAAGTACACTTCAGAAAATTGATAATACCAACTAAGAATAGGAGAGCTTTGCTCCCTTGCTGGGCCTCAATTGGGAAATGTTAAAGTGTAAAGAAAGGATATAATTGATATTCCTTAAGAAGGGGAGTGCTAGTCAGCTGGAAAAGATATTCATTTGCAACTTACCTCACACTTACTGGGATTCACCATAATTAAGAATTTCAGTGTAGGACTCTGCTTCTATGTAATATTTTGAGTTTCAAACTGACCTTATAACGCACAATTTTGGGATACAAATTGTATACTGGCACTACCTCTTAAAACATTCCTATAGATCAGGGGTCAGTCAACTGTTTTATTCAGGATCCACATAGTAAATATTTTAGGCTTTGCAGGCTGTCTGGTCTCTGTTGCCAACTACTCCACCAGTATGATAGGCCGAGCTAAACCATAGATGATGAAAGGAATGAGCATAGCTGTGGTCCAATAAAACTGACTGACAAACATGAGAAGCAGGCCAGACGTGCCCTGTCCACAGTTTGCCAACCCTTTCACGAAACTGAAAACCTTAAGCTGCCCTGGGCATTGCAGTCTACTTTCTAATACCCTGCATTCTCTTTGTACAAATTCTCACATTTAGTTACTTCACGGAAACCAAGGGAAGATGAAAAAGATGGCCAGGCATATAAATTTGTGTCACGATCTGAGATGGAAGCAGATATTAAAGCTGGAAAATATTTGGAACATGGAGAATATGAAGGAAATCTCTATGGAACCAAGATCGATTCTATTCTTGAAGTTGTCCAAACTGGACGAACTTGCATTTTGGATGTCAACCCACAAGTAAGCTGCATGGATTCCAGGGCCGTTTTTTAAATTTTATTTCCTGTGGAATTTTTGTTTTGTTTTGAGATAGTGAAGGTGGCTCTTTCCCTATTACCTGTTGGTGATAGAGAACCTTATTATGTTTCCACTAGTTAAATAAACCTCTGATCAATTAGCCAACAAAGCTTGGACAGCAATGGAAATTTGATAGAGGTTGAATATTTATTTACTTGCTCAAGTAATATATAAATGCATGTGTTAGGAAATGTTAAATTTAAAATTTAAACAAGGCTACAACATTAAGAATAAAAATTTGAAGTTGCACCCCTTCCCACCCAATATACACCCACACACACACACACACACACACACACACACACGCACACGCACGCACGCACTTCATTTCATTTTCATTATATGTCTCTCCCACTGACCTCTTCTCATCTCTCTACACTCAACCCGACCTTACTTCCCTACTTGAGAGAAATCTTATTGATAGTTTGGTATGTTATCTTTCTGCCTTTTTAGTATGCCTTAAGTTAAAATATATACAAAGGGTGCCAAAAAAATGTATACACATTTTAAGAAAGGAAAAAAACGGTATTAAAATTGTAATAATATATACAGATAACAAAAGATGAATACAAGTCACGTTTGACTTCTGCAATCACAAGAGGTGCTCAAAGTTGTCACTATCAGCATAATTTTAATACAGTTTTTTCCTTTCTTAAAATGTGTATACATTGTTTTGGCAACCTCTGTATATTATATATACACACATATACATATATAATGTAATGGGTTTTTTATTTTTATTTCTCTTTTACATAAATGGAAAAAATCTATGCAAATTTTTTAGCTATTTTTCATTAAACAATATTTTTTGAAAATCTTTTCATGTCAGTTACCATAGAGCTTTTTTTATTCTTTGTAATAGCATTTCATAGCATCTGCATAGCATTTCATAGTATGGATGTATATTAATTTATATAACCACTCTCCAATTAATAGACACTAGCTTTTTCAATATTAACAGAATTCTACAGTTAACATAGAAAGTGTTTACATCATTCTTGATGACTTTCGGATCATTAAGTTGAACCTTTTGTTCAAGAGGATCGAAGAGTAGTGAGACTGAGGTCAGAACACAATTAATGAATCACTATTTTAGGAAAGTACCGTATGGAATCAAAAGACTAGAAATCGGGCAAGTTTTAAGTTACAACCTTAATGCTTAGGAAGAGGGCAGATAGACTTTGATTATTTAGTATAAATTAAAGGGTAACATAATGCAAATTCTAATGCTACATAAATTAGTGTGTAATTGTTCCTTTACACAGGCCCTGAAAGTACTGAGGACATCTGAGTTCATGCCCTATGTTGTATTTATTGCTGCTCCGGAACTAGAGACGTTGCGTGCCATGCACAAGGCTGTGGTGGATGCTGGCATCACTACCAAGCTTCTGATGGTGAGCAGCTCTTTTCGGCTAACAATAGCACTTCCTCCTAAAACTTTTCCTTGTCCTTTGCTTTTGAGCATATTTAATTCCATGTGATAACATTTATGAAATGAACATACTACATAAGGTATTATAGAATAAAAATTCATTCACTAGATGTAGTTAAGATTTGGGATAGTATTGCTCTTACTTAAAAATCATTGTTCATTTTATTTTAAAACAAAAGTTTACTCCCCCTATGTAAATGAAATGGACCAGTATTAAAACGTGCCTATGAATCCAACCCCTCATTTTACTAATGAGGAAAATGGGCCCCAAGACCATTTTAGTTTCTGTTACATGGTTTCTCTTTCTCTCCCGCTCTCTTTTTTTATATAATGAAAAATTTAAAAAGAGAAAAAAAATGAATTTCCATGTACCCATCACCTAGCTTCAATAACGTGTGGCCATTTTTGTTTTAATTACACCTCTCCTCACTTCCTCCCTTACTTTGAATTATTATTATTTTTTTTAGCTGAGCCATCCTGCTACCTGTTGGCAACTCAGCGGCTGCTCAGCTCGGGCCAGGACTCGAACTGCTGTTGCTCAGAGCTCAAACTCTTGAGCGAGCTCTTAACCAACTGAGCCACTCGGCCGGCCCTACTTTGAATTATTTTGAAGCAAATCTTTGATATCATATCAATTGTAAATACTTTAGAATTTATCTCTAAAAGATAAAAACTTTTTCAACATAGCCATAACACCATCAACATGTAAAACATTAATAAGAGCAACTTCTTAATATCATCAGTATACAATCTTTGAATTTCCCCAAGATTTATAAATTTTTTTACAGCAGATTTGTTCAAATCAGGATCCAAATAAGATCAACCCATTGCATTTACTTGATGTCTTCTAAACCTTTCTTTCCCCCAGTTTAACTGAGGTATAATTGACATACAATAAACGGCACACGTTGAAAGTGTACGCGTGTTCAGTTTGGTCCTGTGTGCACAGCCGTGCAGCCGTCGCAGTCAGGACAATGGGCTCCAGCAGCTGTCTTGTGCCCTCCCTCCTCGACTTCCGCCTCTTCCCTCACTTTAGCTGGTGACGCTTGAAATCAAGTATCGTTGGCCCTCATTGTTCTTTTTCAGGTTGCTCCATGTCTCTACTTTTTGAATATCTACAGTTATAGTTATAATAAATGTTTTCATGTCGTCATCTACTAATTCTAACATTAGTGCCAATTCTGGGTCAGCTTTGATTGAATGACTTGGCTCCTCATTATAGGTCGTATTTTCCTGCTTCTTTGCAGTCCTGGGTGTTTTTTATTGGATACCAGAGATTGTGAGCTTTGTTCTGGGAGGCAGTTGTTTAGAACTAGTTTGCTCCTTTTAGGTCTTGCTTTTAAAATGTGTCAGGTAAGACCTGAGCAGTTCTCATTCTAGGGGCATTCGTTTTCCACTACTGAGGTGAGACCATTGGAGCATTCTCTTAGGTGGCCGTTGCTTCGTGGGGTTTCCTGTTCTCCCTTGTGGGAATAGTTCCTGTTCCTGGCTCAGGACGAATACCTCGCATTGTCGTCTCTGGTGGCTCTTCGGTGGCGTCTGGAGTTGTACACGTGTACTGATGGGTACTCAGCTGAATGCTGGAAGGAGGCCATTTGCAAATCTTCGAAGTTCTCTGTCCATGCTCTGCTATTCCATCCGGTATTCTGTCCGGCCACTTTAGTCTCCCTGGGTTCTCCGCTCTGTCCCGACCTAGAGAGTTTCATAGGTTCCTCTTGGGCTACGTCTCACTGTACTGCAGCCAGGAAACTCTTTCAGGCCAGTAATCGGGGATAATTTTAGGGCTCGCCTCATCTGTTCCCTGTCTCTCTGGTATGTCTGTCTTTCATTGCCTGATGTAGAATGTCTTAAAAACTGTTGTTTATACATTTTGTCTGTTTTAGTTGTCAAGCTGGAGGGTTAGTCTGATTCCTGTTATTGCATCTTAGGTGGAAACAGATGTCCCTTTAGTATCTTTTAATCTTAAGTCCTCACTGCCTTCCTCCCCGCTTCTCTTTTAACCTTCTAATTTAGTTGTTCAAAAAAATGGGTCATTTATCCTATGCTGAGTATCCTAGTTCTCAAAAACACTGGGAATGTTAGAATTATCACATAATTGCTCATTTGCTTTATCCCACAGTTCACACACAACAGTCTGAGAATAAGTATACCAACACAATTACCAGGTGTGAATACTGTGAACTGTTTTTTGTTTTTTTTAAACCTGTGGTTTATGCCACTAAGTATATACAGTCAAATCACTGTTTTAAAGTCACTTGGGATATTTCCTCTCTGTGTACTTAGGCCAGTTATTACTCTTTTTGATGTTTAAATTGTCCTGTCTTCAGCTAGTAAGAGCCTATTCAACTCGTCTTCTTAGTCTTTTTAAACACAACCCCAATAATCTGATGATTCCTTGCTTCCTGGCGCGAAAAGCTGTTCCAGGTTATCTTTACACATTTCTTGGTCCAAACCTGGAATCAGCTATTTAAAAGCCCTGGTTCTTTTTAGTAGGAAACAATTAACAATATGATTATTGAAAAGTTTTCAGTTTCAGACTTTTTTCTAAATTGTTTCTTAGGATATATACCACTGGGTATTATTTTATTTAAAGTCACTGAAATAATTCCTTTGTGGTTAAACCATCAACTTGAAACACAGGTTTGTTTCATTTTGCTATTAATTTTTAGGTGTTGCTCTTTTTTTTATTTGAATGTAATTTTGGTATATAATTTTATGCATTTTCATAGTTCCAAAGTAAATCTTTAAAAAAAAACAACAACTTGAGCTTTTCTCTGAGCTCGCTGTGTCCTTCCTTCCAGCCACAATGGGTAGCCATGTTCACTCTTTTAATAACATAAGCAAGTATGTATATGCATCCTCCCTCCTCCATTTCTTACATAAAAGGTAGCTAATCAGTTTGTTTGTATTTTTCACTTGCCTTCTGAGGATCACTCTATGACTATATATATAGAGAGATTCTTTAATCATTTTCCATTTGTATGGTGTACTCCATTATTGTTAGAGGATTGTTATTGTCAAAAAAATTTTTTAATAAGCCAGATTGCTAATGACTATAATAGGTAAGAATTGTTTTCAAGTTGAATTGTGTTCTGTTTATACATCTATAATAAATGTTTCAAACTTATTTAGTGATCTCAATGAAAGTATTAACTAAAACATAGGTATTAGTGGCCCTCAGGCCGAGTTGAGAACCCATTTCTCTCTTTCTGCTTTCCTTTTTATTAACTTATATATCATTCTTATTCTGATGCGTCCTAATTTATATAGAATAACCCAGACCTCAGAGCTCTGACTTACATAACCAGTTGCCTACTTGCTTTACATCTCTGCTTGGATGTCTCACAGACATCTTAAACTTAACATGTACAAAGCAGAACATTTTGTTTTTCCCAAAAAATCATATTTTCCCCATTCTACTCCCTAACTGCATCTTCTGCAATCACCCATTTACTCAAGCTAAAAACCCAAGAGCCATCCTTAATTATTCATTTTCTTCACTTTTTACATTCAGTCAATCAGCTAATCCTGATGATTTTATCACCAAAATATATTTCCAGTCTGGTGGCAGTTCCATCTCCTCTGCCACCATCATAACCCAGTGATGTCTTTCCATTGCATCTTGGTCCTCCATGACTTATTCCTTGTTCATCTCAACCTATTGCCCCCACGTCCCCTCTGTCCATCCTGATCTTTCAGTATCTTAAACACATCAGGGTCATTTCCCTTCTGGCTTTTTGCATTGCTGTTTCCTCTGCCTGGAATGCCTTCTCCTACCATAGCTCTCAGTTTAAATGTCATTTACTTAATGTCTTTGTAATCACTCCATCTAAAGTGGATCTCTTAAAATGCTTTTTGTTCCTGGTTGGTTTCTTTTTTAGTACTTATTACAATTTGCAAGTTTCTGTGTTTGTCTCCTCCACTTTAGGAGCCCACTCTGTCCTGTTCATTGTTATAGCCACAGGTAATGAAATATAGTAGGCAATTTAATAGAAGCTCAATAAATATTTGAAGAATTGTGTAGTATTGTGAAATTTCAAAACACTTGCAATTTAATGAAAAGCTTGACTTGTTCCTGCAGAATCCATTACTTATTTGTTACCCCCACATTATTCCAAAAAGACTAGAAATATTTTATGAAATATAAACAATGCTAGCTAAAAAGATAAATAAATGTAAAGTTAGTCTTCAAAATACATTTCTAAGATTCTCTTTCTTAGAGATAGGCAGCACATTTGGCTTTGAGTTTAACAACCACTACAAATTAGGTTCCATGATCTACAGAGTCCATGAGATAAAATCTTTTGAAAAGGATGCTATAGTTGGGCTAGAGACTAGTCACCTGCAATAATTCTTTTACTACCTGAGACTTCACCCTCAGGTTATTGTCATATCAGTGAAACAGAAGATACAGGATACTCACAAGTGCAAACATGAACCCAGCTGGAAAGACTAGTATGTGAACAGGTAGTAATGTCTGTTTTAACACTATAGATTAGATTTTGAGGATTAATATCAGAATCACAACAAAAAAATATCCAACCTACTTATTTCTTATGTTCACTTTGAGTTGGTGTTTGAGCAGGTAAATATACATTCTAATACCATTTCCTTTTAAAACTCTTCAACAGGACTCTGACTTGAAGAAAACAGTGGATGAAAGTGCACGAATTCAAAGAGCATACAACCACTATTTTGATTTGATCATCGTAAATGACAATCTGGACAAAGCCTTTGAGAAACTACAAACTGCCATAGAGAAATTGAGAATGGAGCCACAGTGGGTCCCCATCAGCTGGGTTTACTGATGATTCAATAAGGTTCACAATTAAAATACAACTTTTAAAAAGTGACTGCAACAAATAAACCTTTTACTGAGAAAATACATGCACAGCTAGAAGATATCTGCCAAGTCCAGGCATTTTTATTGTGTGGATTGAAATATCAGTACACTATTCTGAATTTTTATATGAAATGTGGTTGGGAAGGTGTACTAATATATAATTTATCTTAATTTTTCTAACTTTTTATGGATAATCTTTCTATTCATATCACATAAAGAAATGCGTTGAAGCATTTTGTATATGTTTTGATTTAGTACCCTTGCCTTTTTCATCAAAGGAATTTTCAAATCATTCATTCTAACTTTGGTCTCACATTTTCACTGTGATAATTAATACTTGAAATAGTTTTGTAAAGCTGTCATTTAGTTCAGTATTTAACTAGTCAAGGGTAGTTACTCTGATTAGGACAAAGTAGTAGTTATTGGCCTTCTTTCCTAATATAATTTCTTACAGAAGCAGAATGTAATGTCAGTGCTACAGCTAGTCTGCGACCATCCAAATCTGACATCATATGTCTGCTCAGTGCTCCGTAGTTTTGTTATTTCAGAGATGTGTGGCTATCCATTCTACTTTATACACACATACTGGGTTTCTTACCCTTCATTTCTACCTTTAGTGAAAAAAAACAGAGAGCAACACCTTGCACTCTCATTTGTCGCAATGACAGGCTGATGCTGAGTTAACGTGTGTACACCAAGCAAGGCTGTGCAGGCTGAGAGAGTGCCTTCTCCTGTAAAACCTTACCGCAAAATGACACAGTTGATTTATTTTCACATGTAAAAGTTTAACTGACAAAAAAGTGAACCTACTTTAGACAGTTTTTTATTAGGGGATGGTCAGCAAATGTATCATGCTTCTAAGTTTGCAGTGGTGGGAGGGGAGGGGGGGAGTTGTGAACAATCAGCATGTGCTATGAAGCGTGATATGATCATTAAGGTATTTGTTTGATTTGTTGTATTGAGAACCCAGTCCACTGAATGATTTTTTAAAATTTGGAAATAAGTGTCATCTGTTTTATCTATATATAATATATACATTATATAATATGTACATTGTATGTATTATATAATATATATTAAAATTTTTTTTTACATTTCTGTAAGGAAATGCACTATTTTGTTTAATGATTAGGAAAACTGTTCTCCTCCTCTAGAGATATTAACATAGACAGATTTCCAAAATTCACCTTCCTGTAGGATTCTTGGGTGGTATAAATTCTTCCTAAAATGTATTCAGATATGCAGCTCATCAGTAAACTAAGTTAGCCATATTTTATATTGTTGCTAGCTTTTCACATAAACAGTATTCACAGTTACAGGGTTAGGCGCTTAACTATGGGTGGTTGTCTTTGGTGTTAAGCACCAGACACCAGGATGCTGAATTAGTTTTCCCCTCACCACAGCTGTGACATGCAATGCCAGCAGGGAGGGCTTGGAGGGAAGAGAGTACGCATGGCAACAAGCAGCACACATCAAACCTTTTCACAAATGAAACAAAACACTCAAGTTGTTAAGATTGGAAGTCTGTAGGTATTGTTTTACTCCAGAATTTTATATTCAGCACAAATTCACATTCTTTGCCCTAGGATAGGAAATTGGTGGCAAAATGGATCTCACTCTTTTAATAACTTGGGTAACTTTTAAAGTGCATTCTTGGTGTCTCAAAGCAACATGAATCAAAGCAGAGCGTCGAGGTGATGTCCTATGACTGAGTGTTTCAGCACATTGTAAATTTTAAGAGAAATTTCACATTCTCAGGTCTGCCTTTATGCTGCCACGTGGAGCCTCTTTGAACAGCTTTGGGATCATTGTAGCAGGGCAAACAGTTTATCCACAAAATATTTCAACCAGCTTGGCAAAATAGAGAGGATTTTTACATCGTATATATTTTTAGCTTTATCATATGGTATAAAAATGCATGTTATTTAGAAAAGAGTCTGCACTTAAAGGAATTATTTCTATTACAAATGGTATTCATCGCTAACTACTTGGTTGCTATCCACTGGATTCCTCCTAGTATGAAATAAAATGATGCACTTTAGTTCATTTCAGCCTAGATGCCAGAGTTGAAGACAATACATATAGAAAATTTCATTGATCTCATAAAAGAGTCATTGAACTTGAAACTCAGTTCCCATAGGAGTCTGCAGGAACCAGCCAAGCTCGGCTTGGCAACAAGTCCCAGTGGCCCCAGGGTTCCCGCGGCAATGAGAGTATAGTTGTGATCAAAGACATGAACTTCTCTTGTGGGAAAGGGCTAAGATAATTAGCTTTACTGAAGAGAAAATGGTTTAAAGTGGTGTTGAACGATTGGTCATGGTTAAAATACACACACGCATGCATGTGCTTTTGGGAGACGTGATGTGCCAATACGTTAATACACCTGAGGATTCCTTGTGGGCAAGTGAGTGTCTGCGTTCAGCATTCAGGGCGTGACTATTTATATACAACTAAACATATACATTTTTTTCATTTTCAAATGTACAAATAACCCTGGAAAAGTCATTGAACCATAACTAGTGGATTACATATGATACACTATAAGTAGAATTTCACTTTTATTACAGCCATGCCTTGATTATGCGTTCTCAATTTCTATTTGATATTTGGGTAATATCAACTATCCAGCACATCGGAGCTCGATTTACGTTTGCGAATTCTAACTATACAATTGCTGAGTATAGCTGACTAAAAATCATTATCATAAACCCACTGTGACTACAGAAATAGTAGCCTAAGCCCTAGATGCTAGAATCTAGTAAAATTTATTTATAATAGTTTATAAGGACAAGTTTTCCTTAAAAGAGCAAATTGGTTAACACAAATTTAGAAAATAATGCAAATTAGCAATGAAATATAATAGTGTGGCATAGATTATGGCCAGATACTAGCTGCTTTGACCTGATATCCCAATGAAAATAAAAGATGACGTTTGCTTTAAAAATTTATTAAGTTGGTACTTATTTTTATGTATAACAACAAGTGTCCTGATTGTGATTGGGGTTGATTTTCAAGATGGATAGCTATGGCGTTAGGCACAATTTTGAATTGGTAAACACGGAACATAAAAGTTTGAAAATTGCTCAAAATAATGATCTACTTAACATTGTACTTTTATGACTTCTGAAACAACACTCCATTTTTTCAGAAATCACAGGCTAGAAAGCCAATAATTTTATAGTAATGAGTCTTTATACTAAATATGGAAAAAGCAATCCTGAGGTTTTATGTATATAGATAGCAGGTCATTTTTTAAATGTTGAGTCACCATATATATAATATATATACAGCTATGTGTATAATATGTAAATTCTCCCAAAATACATGAATAAATATATTCACCCATGTAATCATAACTAGTGTTCTGAAATTTTTAATTACTCCCAAATTCTTAGACATTCTGGAACTTTTTTCACATTGTTTTAAAGGGCTTTGTTTTACCTCGAGTCAGATACTAATCTGTTTTTTTGAAAAAATATATGAGGCATTAAGCTCAGAAAATTATCATTATAGCTTCATTTCCTTAAGGACAAAGGAGAGTCCGAAAAGGAAACCTCTTGGGAATACTTATTTAAAGCTTCTAATGAATTTTTGCTACGGTTCAGGCTTAGAGATTATACCTGCCTTTCTGTTGTTCCAAAGGATTTGCTGTGAGAATTCATCTGATAACATCTGTAATACATTTTGAGTTCTTGGGAGAAATTCAGTATTTTAAATGATAAGATTATTGTATATAGTACAAGTGACTTAAGAATACAAGTGACTAATAATTCAGCCTCATACCAGTTTCTATGTAAATATACATTGTATACCTGAGGAAGATAATGATTCTATAAATTTTTAAGGTAAGATTATTTTTTAAATGCATTTTTGTTAGCTTCAAGTTTTGCTCATTTTTAAGTATTTCCCATAATTTGTCATGTTACTTTCTGTGTTCCTGCAGTGATTTAGTGCACAGAATAAAAAATGAGTCCTTAATACACCAAAAACTAAAGGAAATTATGATATCTCATTTCTAAAGTAAGAATTTAAAAGCATGGTTTTCAACACTTGTGCAACACACTGCACTACTTTCTTTAAAATAGTCTCTCTTTTGATAAAAATAGATTGTGTATTTCTACTGGCTGGGATCCTAATTCTGACTCCTCTCCATGTGACCTTTGATAAAATTTATATCCCCCTTTACTTTTAATATTCCAGTTGTTACACAAGGCTAACTTAATATTTTGTCTTCAGCTTAAATCACAGGAAGTAATTTGTAACTCTAATGTGGTAAATGCTAAATTGGAAACTATGCTACTTTATCTGTTTATTATATGTATTTGCGTCTTATTATCTTCTAGTTCTTTTTAAAGTGTACCTCTTTCAGAGGTAACTTAGTGAATAGGATTCCATTTAGGTATCCTATTTCCAGTTTTAAAACGGATCTGAGGGTGTAGTTCCAGCCTGGAAGAGGGTCTCTTCTGCTCTCTTAGTGGCCTGGATCAGGAGACCCATTTTAGTTTGTCCAAACCCTTAGCAAATCTTTGCTGCCAAGCAGACCACTCACAAATCAAATTTAAGTAAGCAATCCAGTGCTGTCTTACATCAGAAGACATGCTGATCTCACCCCCTTAAAGCTGCCCTACCCTATTCTTAGTCCTGAAATTTATCACCTCAGTCCATATTGTTTAAAAAGTGTCTGTTTCTTTATAGGGAGAAACATTCTGTTAGGTCATTAGTGGACCTCTTAAGCCAACATGAATGCCTTGTAGTTACATCCTCTTTCTAAGTGCTTCGCGGCCATTGGCTGATCGTGCAGTGCAGTGATGATAAACCTGACCTGCCTCCACACACCAAAGTCAGTCGGAAGTGATGACCGACCCTCTTTTTTTTTTTTTTTTACTACTAGCGTTTACCGTTTCCTAATCTCTAGCACAAACTGAATGAACACCTCTACACACAGTTAACGTAAATGCTACTGAGAACTTGGGAAATTAAATGACTCGATGCTTGTAAGCCTGTCTCAAGTCCCCCTGGACAGGCTACACCATAGAGCAAAAGCCAAGAGGTCTTACTTTAAACGCTGGAAATTGAGATCTTTATTGTACTTCAGAAACAGCAAGCCAGGAGTAGAAACAAAATGACAGGCCATACCTGAAATTTGGCTTTCCTCCCATTTTGGCATTCAAAGTGGCCTAGATTGGAGGAGGAAGAAGAAAGCATAGCATTAAAAACTCCTCAGCCTTAAGTTACCAATGTTAAACCAGAAATTACTACCAGTTAAAATATGTTGTTCTCATCCTTTAAAAGGAGAGGCAGGCAGTCAGATGAGTAACATTGCATGGAACTTGTGCTAAGAAATGTGGTCCAAATGAGACATGCCTGAGTGTTCGGGAAGAACCAGACTCAACTAGAATAGCTCATCTCCATCTGTTATTGAAATTCAAGATAAATACTTCTTTTGTCTCCGTGCCCTCTTTAAAAAAGAACTGCTGACTCCTGTTTCTTCAGTAACTGATTTTTACAGACATGAGGTCTTGGATTTTGCTGTAGAAGATTGAGCCCTAGGGTTCAGCAACAGGTGTCACTTTCTATATGTTACACTGAGCTCTGTTAGAGACCATGATGAGTACTTGTTGTGAAAACCTTGCTTTGGGGGATTTTGTTTTCCCCCAGTTCGTCTTGGTATATCTTTATTTTGAACAAAAACGCATGCTCTTTTTAACCTCTAGTCTTTTAAGTGATTGTAGAAGAGGACTTGTTTTTTCTTTAATGGAGGACAAAATGCTTGTTAGCAACCTAAAAATCAAAGCTGAACAAGCTGCTAAAGTAAGTTTCTGATGAAAAACTTTAAAAAGAAAAGTTAATTGCTACTGCTATCCAAGTAATTGTACTACTAATTCCTGTATAAAAGAAACATTGTACTTGTATGAATAAAATTTTATTGCAATACAATTAAGTATTGATTTTTCAGAAATTGTCCCTATACACTTTTCATTTCACATATTTCCATATGCTGTCCAAAACAAAAATTGTTGAAATGTTCAATCTGTGAGATTGCATATGCCTGGTAAAATATTTTTGTATGTAAAAAGAAATAAATATTTAATATTGGAAAAATATAGTGTGTCATTTATAGGTAGAACTGAGGCTTAGAGGAAATAAAATACAGAGGATATGAGATTATCTTTGATAATTTCTTTTAAATGCTGATATTCTTTGGAAAAAGCCTCTAATGATATTTAGTTTTCCCCACCAATATAAATATATTAATTTTTCATCTGCATCTCTTCTTTAACAAGGAAACTCTAATTACTGTTTCCTCTGTCCCAGCCCAAGCTTTCAAAGACAACATACTCAAGGAAACAAATTCAGAGACAGGGAAGATTAAAACACAGGATCAAGAAAAGGCCTCTGCTTCGGTGGCGTGGGATGATGCTGGGACCATTTCCCAGCCAGCCAAGAAAGGCCAAAGCCTGTGGCCCACAGCTCAGCCCGGAAGCCTTCGGCGAAAGGGAGGTGGACCCAGCAGACTGGCCAAGAGACGGAGGCACGGCTGGGTGAGTGCAGGAAGAGGTACTTAGCAACTCGTTCTTTCCCAAGCTGGTTTCTGGGGTTCCATACCTCATAATTCAGAAATTGCTAGTCCGGTGTATTCCTGATGTCGTGTCGCCCAAAGAATTAGGTTTTATATACAGTAACTCCTAGAATAATGCTGTTTTGTTCTAATGTTGACAAGGGGGGAAAAAGATTCCTGGCCGGGGCCGCTGGCTGGAGTTGGCACATTCTCCGCATGTCGGTGGGTTTTCTCCCAGGACACCCGTTTCCTCCCATATCCCAAAGATGTGCATGTTATGTGAGTCGCTGTGTCTGAATTGCCCCAGTCTCAGTGAGTGTGGGTGTGAGTGGCCTTGGGATGGAAGGGCGTCCTGTCCAGGGTGGGGCCCACCTTGTGACCTGAGCTGCCGGGAGAGGCGCCAGCCACCCACAACCCTGGACTAGAACAAGCAGTTGGAAAAGAATTCTCGTGCTTGTTTTTGTTCATCTTTCTTAAGTATGTGTAGATCACATGTATTTCAATGTTTAATATTAGAAGTGTTTGCGGACTTTGTTTAGAAGTTTGGTGATGTTTTTGTGACCAGAAATATGCCGTAGGAACTTGACCCTTGCTTCTATCAATTAGCCTGTGGTAGAATTGGTTTCATTATACGTCATTTTGCTTGAAGTCACAGTTTCCAAGAAACTATCGACATCATTAAGTGAGGGCTTACTGTACTTCATTCTTCCATTATATACGACCTGTCAGTTTTCTATCACTGCAGTAACAAATTACCACAAATTTAGCAGCTTTAAACACAAACTTGGTTGAGTGGGTCTGAAATGCAGGTCTCGGCAGGACGCCTCCCAGAGCCTGCCTGGGCTCTTACCTGGAAAATCCGCTTCCAGGCTCTTGCAGGCCGGCGGGCTCCAGCGCCATGCAGTTGTGGAAGTGAAGTCCCCACTTCCTTACTGGCTGCTGGAGGGACTGCTCTCTCGTCCTTGAACTAGTCCCGTTTTCAGAACCAGCAACAGCACTGAATCCTTGTGGTGCCTCATCTTTTGTGCCTTTTCTTTGGCCAAGTCTCTCATTGATTCTTCTGCCTTCTTTAAGGGCCCACCCACATAATCCAGGGTAATCCATCCATCTCAAGGTCCCTAACGTAAAAACACCTGTAAAGTCCCTTTTTGTCGTGTAAGGTAACATGTTCACAGGTTCCAGGGATTATTAGGGCACGGACCCCTTTGAGGGGCCTTTGTTGGGCCACACCACTCTCGCTAATGCCAGGGTTTCTTCCTGTGTCCATTTATGACAGAGAAGTGGTCATGGAAACATCAGAGTGAAGGCGGCTGCCCTGTTCTGTTCTAGGAAATACCATTCTCTTTACCCTGTTTTCTAGGTGAGCAGGCCAACTAGAACATTTTCAAATCAAGTTATTTAAGAAGATATACTCATATGGTTCTTGATCTCAAGCAGCAGATAGAAGTACATTTAAAATTAATAATAGTATTTAATGAGGATACCAGTTAGAAGACCCTTGTGGTGGCCCAGTGTCACCCTCCCTCAAGCATGCCCAGCACGCCGTCACCCACCACATCCCAGCAGAGCTCTGGGTTGGAGGTGGGAGGGGTGGGGCATGGGACATCTGTAGCAGCAGGAGGCCCCATCCTTTTCAATAGCTAATTTTTAAAACAAAATCCAACAGGATAACTGACCAGTGTTAGGACAATTGTGGAAACAGCCAAAATGCCTTAGTTGTGCCTGTTTGATGTAACCTGACCTTTTGGCACTTGCTGGGATGGCATCTTTTCTTTCTGTCTGAACTCTTGTCTTTATAGTGTTTTGGTTTTGTTTATTTTTAATTTAGAAGATAATACATATGCAATTCTAACAGGAATAGAAGGATGAACCCCCCAGCCCTTTCTCTACCTTTTACCCCAACCTCTAAATCCTTTCCCCAAAGGAGCCGCTGTTGGGTTTCTAGTGAGCTCTTAAATGGGGTGTCCCATGCATGGTGACACGTATCTTTTTTTCATACAAGTAGATTCATATTATACATTCTGTGTATAGTTTCTTTTCTTTATTAGTTTCAAGTGTACAAAACAACATAGTGATTAGACATTTACACCCCTCACAAAGTGATAACCCCTCAAGTCTACTACCCCTCTGACACCATACGCGTTACAATACCATTGACTCTGTTCCCTGTGCTGTACTCCACATCCCATGACTATATATACACAGACATATTTATAGTTGACATTCAATATTATAGTAGTTTCAGGTGTACATTGCAGTGGTTATGCATTTATATAATCTATTAAGTGATCCCCGGTAAGTCTAGTACCTATCTGGCACCCTACATAGTCTTGACAACATTATTGATTATATTCCCCATACTGTATTTCACGTCCCCATGACTATTTTGTGACTACTAATTTGCACTTCCTAATCCCTTCCCCTTCTCCCCCACCCCCCAACCCCTTCTCATCTAGCAACCATCAGTTTGTTCTCTGAATCTTATGAATCTACTTCTGTTTTGTTTGCTTGTTTATTTTGTTCTTTACATTCCACATATAAGTGACATTATTGATATTTGTCTTTCTCAGTCTGACTAATTTCACTTAGCATAATACCCTGTAGGTCCATCCATGTTGCTGCAAATGGTAAGATTTCGTTCTTCTTTATGGCTGAATAATGCTCTGTTGTATAAATGTACTGTAATTTCTTTATCCAATTGTCTATTGATGGGCATTTCGATTGTTTCCATATCTTGGCTGTTGTAAATAGTGCTGCAGTAAACAGAGGGGTGCATATATATCTTCTTGAATTAGTGTTTTGGGTTTCTTTGGATGATACCCAGAGGTGGAATTGCTGGGTCATAAGGTAGTTCTATTTTTAATTTTTTGAGGAACCTCCATACCGTTTTCCATAGTAGCTGCACTAATTTGCAGTCCCACCAACAATGCATCAGGGCTTCCTATTCTCCACATCCTATAGTTTGTTCTTTATACTTATTTTATTTCAAAAAACCAGACAAAAAGGTATGGATATTGCCACCAATTTAGCACAACTATTTTCACTTTTCCATATTCCTTTCTAATTTGTGTATCAGGTGCTTGCTTTTTATATTATTGCCACCACAGTGTACAACTCTTATCCTTTTTTTTCCTCACGTATCAGAAGTATTTGCATAATTTCATTTTTAATAGAAGTGATAGAAGGGTTATTTGCTTCATTTCTTCCTTGTTAACGTTCACTAAAAGCTTACGGGCAGGAAGGGAACATGTAGATGATGTTCCGGTAAAGAACATGTGCTGAGTAACATGCTTCTCTCCAACAACTGCTGCCCTCCCCCATCCCTCCCCCTCCCCCACACACGCTGCCTCCCTGCTCCTAACAACACGCGCATTCTGGCAGGAGGGCTTAGCTGCTTTCTGCTAAGGGAAAGCAGGGTGGCTTCAGGTCCCCCCATGAATATTAGCAATAGAACCAGGGGCACCGGGGAGATAGTCCAGGCTATTTATAGTACAAGGATGTGGAAACAATCCAAAGCAACATATACACAGTTCAGAGTTTCCCTTGATACAATATGTGGGGTTTGACAAATCAGACGTCCAGAATGCATGGAAAATCAGCACACTGTTCTTGATGTAGAATTAGTGTGCTCATCACAGCATGACAAAGCCAAATAAAATGCATGGAGCAAGACCCCCTGTGGGTGTCCTGCCACTAGATTTCTTTAGTATAATTTTTTTAGCATAAGAATATATGTTCTCTAGGGGAATTTACAGTTCATCCTTCAGTCACTGCATAGCATGCGGCACATCCAAAACGTGGCCTTCTGTGAAGAGAAATTGCCTTCCCACAGCATCCATAATTTAAAATGAATTTTTGGATCGTAGTGTTAAACCCATCTGTTTTTGTATAACAGGAAGGAAGTGGGAAATATAAGTGATAGATGAACCCATTTTTCTGCAGAAGAAAGGTCTGTACAGTGGCTTAGAATTCTCAGCCCTCCTCCAGCTCTCAGGGGGTTGGAGTTGAACTTGCACACCAAGTCACAGGCACAGGAGGGCCTCTTATGAAAAGAAAACCATTCACAGGTGCCCAGTGGCTAAACTCAAGGTGATTCATGTAGTACAGACAGCCACCACTTCTTAAACTCCTGTAAATTCATTTCCTTGATCCACTTTGAACGGGAATCTGACTTAGGCCCCAAAGTAGCATGTTAATGATGCTGACAGGCGCCCATCCTTGGGCTGATAACATGTACTTGTGATTCACACGTGACATTATCGATGTGCTCTGCCTAACGCACAGAGGCCACTCAGGCTTATATAAAGAACGAGTGGGAAAACGCTGGGGACTTTGCAGGTGACAGCTTTCACGGACGACTGCTGTCGCTCCAGGTCAATGTCGGCTGCGGCAAGCAGGCGCTGCACAAGCCCAAACCTCTCTGGATTCCTCAGAGGAGCCAGGGCTGCGTCTTCAAGATCAGACTCTCCATCAGCAGACAGCACACGGAGCTGAAATGGCACATTTAAATGCACTCACTGACAACTGTTGTAGAAAATCCACATGGTTGGATAATAAGGCACTTCTAGCTAATTATGAAAAAAAATAAGTTGTTGTTTGAAATTCCCCAAATGGAGCAAGAAAACCCTTAAGATGTAATAAGATATATTTGACCCAGGCCAGGATCTCAGGCCTGATTTTTACAATTTGCCTCTGTCTGAGTCCCCACTCTCTGAACGCTACCTGCTGCTACTAGATCCATTAACTTCAGCAGATCGGAAAGGCCAGAGTGTAACTTTCTCATCCACACAGTATGTACGGTCTGTTTGATTTTTTGGTCTAATGGAGATCTTAGAATCTCTTAGGCTTGTACGAACCCCTCAAAGTGATAGGTCCCCATGATTTATTTAGTTATGCTTCCTGCTCCAGAACCTTTGCCCTTCCTCCTGCCTGGGTACGCTTCCTCCAGGGGTCCACGGGGACCTTTCCTTCTTGTCTGTCAGTGAAAACGCTACATCAGAAGGGCCTTTCCCCATCCCCTCTCCACCCATCCACCCCTATACCCCAGCCACTATTATGTTATTATATTGTCTTCATAGGCTTTACTATATCTGAAACCATCTTTTTGATGGTCACCGTTTCATCTGTTTCCTAAAACCGAAGCTGCTCAGGAGAGCAGGGGCCTGGTCGGTCGTGGTCTCCACTTCCCCTGCTGAGAACGGAGACTCAGGGCGCTGAATGAATGTGAGCTTGTAGGGAGGGCACTTCGGACATCACTCTAATTGCAACCGCTCAAAACATTTGAACCTCTGCTGTTAGGGTCTGAATCTGTGCCTGTGGCAGTTTATTTTTTAATCTCTAGTAATTACAAATTTGCCAGTAGATTCAATTTTTAAATAGGCATTCAGAACCAGATAAGATTAGGACTGTAGAGAGTAAAATTAAAAAAAAAAAAAAATGAAGCCTATAAAGCATGCATGAATTTTTAACTATCTGAAGGGACTCAATAAAATATTCCAGAAGTGTTGTGAGAAGTGGTAACCTTACTGAAATACGCAGCTGGCCCCACTGGCCAAAGGGCAGCGCTAATTTGCACACAAAAGTGCTCATGTGTCTGTTATCAAAATCAGCCTCACAAATGCACACCTTGGAGACTGCCCAACTACAGCTCACACAGTGTAACCACAGGCTTAATGGGACCATTTGGCCCAGACCGTACCCTATCGATGGAGCTCGAGAGCGGGTTAGGCCTGCTCTTTCAGCACAAGCACCACATTCCCGGCGACTTCAGTAAGAAAGCTCCATGTGGGGCAGACGGGAGGCTGCCAGCAGCCCAGTGGGCGCTGGGTCTGGTGGAGACGGCCTGAGCAGCCTCCAGCTTCCTGCTCTGAGCATCTGCCAACCCAAGTGCCCACAGGCACTTCTAGGTATAAAAGAGATTACAGTCACCCCGAGGGTGGGGGGAGAAATTCACATTCTCTGGTGCTGATGCCAAGTCACCTTTGTACCAGTTCTTTTACCAGTTTGGCAAATGTGTGAGTGCATCTGACACGCTTCTCCCAAAAGCCCTTCAGAAAGCCTCTCCAGGATCCTTTGGCCACCAGTCAAGAAAAGACAGGAATGCAGGTAGAGTTTACACTGAATTCTAAGTAAACCCCTGTGAGAAACACCTAATACCAGATGCTTCAGGAGGCAGAAGCCTCACTGTCTTCAGGGTGGTTGCCATCTCTAGGGGGGATTAACGCCGTGATGCTTGGGAACGTCTTTAAAGGAAAGTTATTTCTTTGTGTTGAGCAGCCCGTGAAGGCCAACAACGGACCCTGTGTGTGGGAAGTTTTGTGCCAAAGTAGAACACCAGCCATTGGAACTCCACATGTGTCCTAAGGGCTACTTTTAGAACACCGACAGAGTCGAGCTCAGAAGCAACACCAAGATCAACCCAGCACTGGTCTGCAAGAAAGGTGACGACTCAGCGTGAGTTTGTTGGGAGAGGGAGCTAGCTAGCATGGCCTTGGCAGTATGTCCTTTTTCTATACTTCCTGGACGCAGTGGATGGCTCTGTAAACACTTGGTAAGGGCCACATTGCGAAGTGCTAAGCACACCATTGCTGCACAGCAGAGCTAGGCTATGGAAGCGGAGCTGCTGTCGTGCTCATCACGGCAGGCGATTTGGTAATGAAGCGTATTGTTCCCATAGCCAAAATACACCCCCCGTCTCTCCCCTCGGCTGGCCACAGGATACCCGTGCGGGCACATTTTCAGCTAGTTGGTTTTGTGGTCAAAGCACAAGAACGTGGCATCCCTCTGGGCGGGTAGAATCTGCTTCCGGTTGTGAAGGACCTCTAAACAGCTCCTTGGAATAAATAATGCCTTGCTGCAGTCTTAAGATGTCTTTGCTATGCAAAGAAGTACCCAAGGCACTAATCACAGTGCTCAGAGTTTCCCAGGGTGGGTGTGTAACACATTTCAGGGTCCCAGCGAGGCAGTTTACCCCAATACCTGCTTCCCAGGTCTGGGAGCACAGCTTTGGTCCTTTGGGTCTACACAGCATGCTGACCTTGGCTTAGTAACTAGACCTTAAAATAATCCAGTCAATATGATCTGCTCCTCTGTCCGAGGCCGGGCAACATGTGCAGAAGCTGCATTAGAGTGTTCTCCGGGCGGCCTATTGAGGGTCCCTTCTCTTAATGACCCGATTGGTAATTTTATAAGGGAAAGCTTCATCTTGAGCCTCCCGGGGCTAAGCTCATCATTACCTAACTTCTACTCTTGCCATGACATTTCCTGAGGACACACAGCTAGTGATATTCCTAAGGGAATGAAATGTCTCTGAGACAACAGTCCTCTGGAATACCTCCCTGGTAGAATGTGGTGCAGAGCTAAATCAAACTGGGCTAGCCAAAGAGCTGCCATAATACGGTGCCAACTCCTTCCCTGCAGTGGCGCATCAGGCCTTGGCCAAAATTCTCTCCTGACGATGAGAAAAGCATGAGGTTTGGAGTCTAAAGACAAGACTGCACTCCCAGCCCCGCTAGTAAGTTCTCTGAACAAATCCTTTCCCTTGGGCCTCCGTCTTCCTGTGACGGGTATGTGGTGTGGGTGGGTGTAAAAAAGTGGGGCTGATAATGATACCTGGTTAACCTGTTTTGAAGGGCTGTCATGGATGAGAAAGCATACAGGTGTTTTATCAGCTGTTAGGTGCCCATCGCCTCCTCATTTGCACATTCCCACCCATCCCTAGGTCCAGTCTATGAGGTTTCTTACCAAGTGGCACAGCGTAGGAATAATCTGGAGTTCACAGCAGGTGCCCAGCAAAGCTGCTGCATTATCTGGCATTTCTGCAAGAGACAAAAATCAGTCACTGTCAAAAAAAAGCATCCATGGGAACAGAGCCATCCCCTGGATTGTACCTAATTTATACTTTCGTGCTCTCCAGCCAGCCAGGCAGGGTTTATGCTGAGTAATTGTTGGAATGGATGGATGGATGGAGCGAAACAGGCAACAAAGGACTTTTAGAAAACAGGTGTAGGAACCAGGTAACCAGTTCTGTGTTCACCAGAGGATATTCCTTGACATTCAATTTGCCAATCAGGAAGAATTGTACAGACTCAGGGCAAAGCAAGTCAGCATGGAAAGGTAGGAAGAACCTGGGGTTGGTGACAGAGGTGTGATTGAGCCCCACTGCATATTTGAGGGCGTGACCTTGGCTACACCCCTCTGAGCATGTCTCCCATTTGATTGACCATAGATTTTTTGTTGTTGTTTTTTTGCATATGTCAGAGAAGTGAGTAAACTGTAAAGGCTTTTAAGCCCAGGTCATTAGTCATTTTTAGGAGAAAAATGCCATGTGGCTGATACAGGGGTGGCACACCAGACCTCTGATGCCCCAGGACTGTGCAGGGTCCTGGCCCACCATAGCTTGGCAGAGGGAGCTGGCGCAGAGCTGTGTGACGCCTGCACTACACCGGAAGGCCCCCGCCAAGACCCTGGAAAAGGAAACCCAGGTCAGTGTTATTCAGAATGGATTTTAGATTCCTCCCAAGGTAAAAGAGATGAAATTCTTAAAAGGACCCACTACCTCAGAATGCAGCCTTTGAACTGAAAAGGGAAAGAGAAAAAGAGTCACCTGCTGAATCAACTGGCCTGGGGCACACTTGTGAACACCCTCCATCTCCTGCATTCATTAGCAGCCTTATTTATAAATGGCAGCGTGTCACTGAGGCTGTGACCTGGCATAATACAATGAAACGTGGCCCTTTCCCAACACAGGAGGGCTGCTAGGAGGATGGAGCAGTCCCTGGAGATGGTCCTACTAGATAACCTCCTAAAATTCCATTTAAATGTTTGTGCATTTGTCTACAGAGAGGGCCTGCAGTTGTCAGCCAATTCTCAAGGAGGCTCTTATCCCAAACCAAGAAGATGAAGATGGTAAGTATGTGTGGCCTGGTGGAGAGATCTCAGGGCTGGGAGTGCAGGGACAAAGTCATCTGGGACATGACATGCTGGAGTCGGGGCTGAGCCACTGTCACAGTGACTTGTTCAGTCTTCCAGCCCCTAACTGTTGAGGTGGCTCCTGAGTCCCAGGGAATCATCATCATCCCTTATTCTTGGAATCACTTTTGTTCCATGTGACTCAGGAGGTCATTCGCTATTTTGAGCATGGTGCTAGGGACAGCAGGATAAAAGAACAACATCTGCATTACAGCGCTTACCAACTAAGTTTACTACTAGACTCGGATTTTCTTGAGGGCGGGGATGATGATTTTCTACCTCAGCACCGAGCAGTGCCGCCTAAAACGTAGTACAGGCTTGTTCAGTGTTTCTTGAATTGAAATGACTTATTTTGATCATTCTTCCATATTTTGACTCTTTTACAAATAAGACCTGGGGAGTTCATACTTAAGGTCACAGAGAGGTAGAGGAAGTGTTCTGGGGGACAGGCCAGGGGCTGGGACTGAAGAGCTTCCAACAGGTGATGCAAAGGAGGCCGGTTTAACATGGCGACATAGGAAGACCCTGAACTCACCTCCTCCCATCATGCCCTGAATCCACAGCTACAGTGTAACAGTTTCCTCTGAGAAAAACCCAAAAACTACCTGAGCCACTCCTACCCATTGGTTGAACAAGAAAATCCCCACATCAGACCAGGTAGTTTACGCTCTCGCACTAAACCCTAACCTCAGTTTGGCAACTCTCAATCAAGAGGGAACTCTCAACCCAGAGCCTCTCCTTGAGGAGTGAAGGGTTTAAAACCTACATCAGGCACCCCAACTTTAAGACCTAGGAGAGAGATGAGCCCCCCAAACATCTAGCTTTGAGCAATTAGGCATGAAAAGGAAATAAAAGGCATACAAATTGGACAGGAAGAGGTAAAACTCACTATTTGCAAATCAGCTGTTATATATAGAAAATCTTAGACTCCACCAAAAAAAAAAAAAAAACCAACAAAAAAACAGAACTAATAAATTCAGTAAAGTTGCAGGATACAAAATTAATTAATGTACAAAAATCTGTGTTTCTATACCTAATGACAAACAATCAGAAAGAGAAATTAAGAAAACAATCCCATTTACAATTGCATCAAAAAGAATAAAATCCCTAGGAATGAATTGAACCAAAGAGGGGAATCACCTGTACACTGAAAACTATGATGCTGATGAAAGAGGTTGAAAAAGACAAATGAATGAGAAGATATTCCATGCTCATAGACTGGAAGAATTAATATAGTAAAATGTCCATACTACCCAAAGTAAAAGTAATCTACAGAGTCAGTGCAATCCCTATCAAAATTCCAGTGGCATTTTTCACAGAAATAGAACAAACAATCCTAAAATTTGTATGGAGCCACAAAGGACTCCAAATAGACAAAGTAATCTTGGGAGAGAAGAACAAAGCTGCTCCCTGATTTCAAACTATGTTACAAAGCTCTAGTCATCAAAACAGTATGGTACTGGCATAAAAACAGACACGCAGATCAATGGATCAGAATAGAGAGGCCAGAAATAAACCCATATATACATGGTCAATTCATTTACAATAAAAGAACCAAGAATATAGGATGGAGCCTCTTCAGTAAATGGTGTTGGGAAAATGGGACCATGACTTTACACCATATACAAAATTACCTCAAAATAGATCAAAGATTTGAACATAAGATCTGAACCATAAAACTCCTAGAAGAAAACATAGGCTGCTTGACATTGGTCTTGGTGACTTTTTTGGATTTGATAACAAAAGCAAAAATAGACAAGTGGGACATCAAGCTAAAAGCGTCTGCACAGCAAAGGAAACCATCAGCAAAATGAAAAGGCAACCTACCCAATGGGGAAAAAATTTGTAAATCATATGTCTGATAAGGGGTTAATATCCGAAGTATATGAAGAGCTCATAAATTCAATAGCAAAAAAAACAAACAATTGATTAAAAAATAGGCAGAGGATCTGAATAGACATTTTTTCAGAGAAGACAAACAGATGGCCATGAGGTACATAAAAAGGTGCTCAACATCACTAATCATCAGAGAAATTCATATCACAACCACAATGAGATATCACCTCATACCAGTCAGAACAGCTATTATCAAAAAGACAAGAAATAACAAAAGCTGGAGAGGACGTAGAGGAAAGGGAACCCTTGTGCACTCTTGATGGGAATGTAAATTGGTGCAGCTACTATGGAAATCAGTATGGAGGTTCCTCAAAAATTAAAAATAGTACTACCATAGAATCCAGCAATCCCACTTCTGGGTATCTATCCAAAGAAAATGAAAACAGTAACTTGAAAAGAGATATGTACCCCATGTTCACTGCAGCATTACTGACAATAGCTAAGACATAGAAGAAAACCTAAGTGTCCATCAGTGGATGAATGGATAAAGAAAGTGTAAGATGTATATGAATACTACTGAGCCATAAAAAAAAAAATCTTGCCATTTTTTGACAAACTTGGCAAGTGGTTGTACCTTGAGGGCATTATGCTAAGTGAAATAGGTCAGAGAAAGACAAATACAATATGATCTCACTTATATGTGAAATTTATAAAAAGCTCATAGATACAGAGAACAGATTGGCGGTTGCCAAATTGGGGGGAAAGGGTGCGAAATGGGTGATGGTGGTTAAAAAGTACAAATTTGCAGCTGTAAAATAAGTCATGGGGATGTAATACACAGCATGGTGACTATAGTTACCAGTCCAGTATCATGTATTTGAAAGTTGCTAAGAGTAAATCTTAAAAGTCCTCATCACAAGAAAAAAATTGTAACTATGGTGATGGATGTTAACTAGACATATTGTGATCATTTTGCAATACACACAAATATCGATTATGTTGTACACCTGAATCAATATAATGTAATGTAAATTACATCTCAATGAGAGAAAGTTAAACACTATAAAACCGAAAGCTGGTGTTATTTTGAGAGCTGGAACTAGGACTCAAAAAGAGGCCATTTTCTGTTCCAGCACTTTCCCCAGATTCTAAGAAGAGAAGGCTGTCTAGGAGGGAAAGGCCAATCAGGAGGGCCAAGGAGTAACAAGAGCTTTCCACTGGTCTGACCCCACGGTGACTGACACGGACATGAAATCTCAGCTCAGAGAGATGCAAACGGGCATCTAGGTTTAGAGATTGGCTGCAGATCGTTTCAGCTGCACCTAACTAACGGTTTTCCTAGGGGCTTCCAGGCTTAGGGGGCAGGGGACTGTGGCGCATGCACTGTGTCGGCCATGTGCACCCCATCTGACACCACGAATCCAGCCGATTGATACAAATATTTCAATAAGTAATAGGGTCAGTGAAGAAAAGGCTTCTCACAGCTTGGAGAAGTCTGGCCTGTGAATTAGCCCCCGATCGAATGCCTTCCTTTAGAGACTGTCTGCCACACTGATGTTCACACAGGGACAGGTGTCAGGGCGGTCCACAGGGCTCTATGTCCTGTCCCAGTCCAGACTTTAATCCAGGCCTTGGAACAAGCCACAGAGCATACCTTCATCAGCATACAGAGATCTGGGAGAGGCACTCTCTCTTTGAATTATTTAAAAACTGAAAATTCCTGGGCCTTCATTCCCATGTGGTGCTGGGGAAGAACCCTGAATGTATGAGGAACCCAATGTCCTGATTCGTCTCACCTTGAAACCAGGTTGTGGGGACCGAGACTGGGCTGGTTTGCCAGGTCTTGCCAGTTTGAGAAGGAACTAAAAGCCCAGTTTCCTCATGCAGGATCGCCACCCTGATGCCACAGACCCTCTGGCACGGCAAGTTCTGGAAGGCAGTGGCAGAGAAGAGGCAGGGCGGCTCCTGGGAGGGCCATTGCAGGGCCCAGCCTCCGAGTGCATCGCCACGCTCTCCGCAGTCTCCCAGCCCTGGTGGCCACTGCGCTCGGGCGGGGCCAGAAGATCGTAAAAGGGAACAAGGGCCACAGAGAGGATCGGAAGGACCGAAACACTGGGGAGAGAGCAGCTGCCCGGTGAAAGCCACCGCCACTCGGCACTGCCCGGGCCCGCGGGTGGAGCATGCCCTCCTGTGTTGGTGAGGGGTGTGCCCGTGCGCTGCCCTCCCTGGGAGAAAGACAAGTGCCCTCCGAGAGTGGAGGAGGACGGTGGTGGCCAGGCCTCCTTCATGCCCGGGTCTGTGACGTCATGGGAACCATGTAAACTGCCTCAGCCTTCCCCTTCTTGACCCTTCCCCTCCTGCCGAGGGAGGGACCATCTGTACCGATCTGCCACAGCAGTGAGCAGAGCACTCTCAAAGCAGCAGCAGTCTTCTTCTTTTTACCGTACCTGCTAGTGCGCTGACCAGTAAGTAGGCCACGGAAAAGAGCTTCTGGTTGCTGACGGCATCCTCCGGGCGGGGACACCCGCCCTGCTGCGTGCTGCACCCCACCAGCTGCAGGAAGGCCGTGAGGTCCTGCTGCTGTGGGGGCTTCAGCGCCCCCAGTATCGCCAGGGTGGGCGACAGGCCGCTGAGCATGTCGTCACACTGCAGGGGGGAGGAGAAAGAGGCAGAGGGGATGGAGCGCGAGGCCAAGCTGGGCGCCACCCAGGTCCTCTGCCCACAACATACAACCCGCCCCTTACCCTTCGTCATCTCCCGAGAAAAGCAAGCCCCTGCGCTCTTCTCTGTGCTTTGAAACCACAGATCCCCAGGTGAGATTTTCTCATCAGGGGACAGTCAACTGAGCCTCGCCCAGGTACTATTCGTTCACAGTGTCGGGGAGGGGGCTGAACATTGCCAACCCCCCAAAATATACGTCCACCAGGAACTTCAGAATGTGACCTTATTTGGCATAAACGTGTTTGCAGATGAAGGATCTCAAGATGAGATCCTCCTAGATTAGGGTGGGTCCTAAATCCACCACCGGTGGGTGTCCTTTAAGAAACAGAAAAGGAGATGACACGGGGGGAGGCGATGCGGAGGCAGTCTGCACTGCAGCCACACAGCCACACGCCGAGGGACGCCAGGCGCTACCAGGCGCTGGGAGAGGCAGGAGAGGACTCTGCCCTGCTGACATCCCTAGAACTATAAGAGAATACATTTCTGTTTTAAGCCAAGACGTCTGTGGGAATTTGTTACCGCAGCCCTAGGGAACCAGTCCACCCTTGAGTCGTGGCATCAGCTACCTTTCTGCAGTTAGAAAACTAAGGTCCTGGGAGTAAGAAAAAAAAATGAAACTTTAGGGTTCAAAGGAAGTGGGGAAATTTTAAACACAATTTTATCCCAGCTCAAAGGCTTTTCCTCCAAAGTCCAGCCCATCCACCTGTACAGAAAACCCAGGTGGGGACACTGCGCCCCGACACATCGCTGGTCTTACCACTTGTTCCAGGACTGCGAGGAGCTCTTCATCAAATAGGACCACCTGAAGGACACCCCGCAATGCCGTCCGCTGGTGCTCGGGCAGCTCCACAAAGGGCTGGAAATTCCTCTCCAAGGGCTGAGTCACTGAAAGCAGCAGAGCACACCCATCTGGTGACTGCTGCGCGTGGCTCAGAACAGGGACAGCAACTCCTGCCTTTTTATAGCTCATTGTCCTCAGTCCTTTCACAGACATTTCTAGCTGAACAGTCAGTCATGGCACTCAGAAGTAAAGGACACGGAGTTCAATACCACCCTGTGTGTTTTTCAATAACCAAACTACAGCGCCCATTCTCCAGGATGGGGGGCGGAGGGGCAGAAAAAGAAAGCCAAGGAAGAGGGCTGCCCAGTTTTGTGTCAGACTTCACTCTTTTTTCTGATGACTCACTAAACATTACGTCTAATCCATTATTTCTCTGGAAAAATCATTTAGACTCCTCTTCAGCGTGATTTCTGTAGCAGTAAACCATCAAGGCTGAGTTACTGAACATCACTCAGCACTTTTACAATGCTTCAGAGCCATGCAGATTCCAAAATTTATTCTTTTTTCAAGCCTTTCCTTAAAATACATTGTGGGTTTTGTATCCTTTAATATTGGACGCATGCATTTCAGAGAGGCTGGCGCCCTGTTTTTACAGCAAACACAGCTACTCCACTTTGCCCATTCTCCCCGGCCCCCTGCCCCCATCCTGGAGAATGGCGCTCAGGCCCACCCGCCTGGGCTGCTTACAGCCTCTGCTGGATGCTTGAGCCTCTTCCCTTAGCATCTGCCTTTTAAAAAATAAAAAAGCACAAAGCTCCTAGTAAAGCAGGCTCAGCGGCGATTTAAAAGCTTTTGTACGCTGGGACGCACACTAGTACATAAATGCATCACCTCTGCTGATGGCAGAAGGGTTGTAGAGATTCCCATGGAGAAGAACGTGTCACGTCAGTGACTGACATATTCAAAACCTACCCTCGAAACACAGCTGGGTCTTTGCGGCTCTGGCCTGGTTGGTCTAGGGTCCAAGGGCACAAAGCCAGGCCAGCCCCTGCCCTACTCCTGGTCCCCACTCTACCCCGAGCTGACTAGAGCGGCCCACTTACACGGTGAGCTAGGAGGACAGGAAGTTATAAGAGAGCTGCAGCCCACAGTCTTTTCATTTCCCTGTAGCCCGGCTCGAGGCTGCAGGGCCACTGCTGCTATGGTTCTAACCCGTGACATTGTGACATCGTGACATCGACAGTGCTTACATGGCAGCAGAGAATCACACCCAGTCATCAGTCTGGAGGGAGCAGAGGAGGGGCCTGCATAAGCCAGGAAAGCCTTATTTTAAGATTGGGCCTTCACTGCCGTTTCTTGCAACACGCGTGTTGCTACAGAAACACAAGCCTCTGGTTTGGGACACGGAAGCTCCACTGTGTGTCTCATCTGAGCCTCCAAGCCAGAGCATATTCTGAGCTGCTCCTCGCTCTTTCTAAGCTCGTACACAGTTACTTGTTTCTCCTTTTCCTTGCTCATCTCTTCTTCTGCTCTATACTACACTCCCACCCTAACCCCGCCCCTCCCTAAAAAAAAAGCCCAACTTTTTGAAGCACAAAATGCTGTGGGGAGCAAAAGGAATCACTGCAGCTGAGCCACAGGTCCTCCCCTCCTCCCTGGACGTCATGGCGCCATCCGGCCTCATGCCATGTGGATAAAGAGCCTCCAAGAGACATTTTGCGATGCTGACAAAGCGCTGCTTGTCTTGGCAGTAAAGCCTGGAATATAATGAAACAGATGCAAAACTTGGGTTTTCTCTTCTTACTGCTGACTAGCTATTCTTAGCAGTCAGCAAGGCTTCTGTGGTTAAAATGGATAAAAAATATGCTGGGCTCCTGACTCCTACAGTCCTCAGTCTCCGGCCACTTTCTCAAAACATGACACCCTAAGACCTGAGGTTCCCTAAGATCCGACCTCCGTGAACCCTGCTGAGTGGATGAGGCCTGACTCTGAGGCACCGTCCTCTCTCTTCTCAAATGTTTTCCGTGAAGTCACTGAGGCGTCACCACTCCTGACGGCCACATCCCCTCTTAGAGTATAGCACTCAATTAGCCATCAGCCCACTATGTCCACGCTGCTGGCCATACCTTGTTTTAAAACACCCAATGGCCCATCCGGGGCAGGCGGCCCCTGCCCACCATCTGGCACGTCCAGAAATGCAAGCTCTCGAAAGGGCAGGGGTGGGTCCAGGAAAACATAGTCGCTTCTCCTCTCGTGCTCAAAGCCACCACTCTTCCCTTGCAGGAGGCAGAATTCTGTAATGCAGGAGAAGAGGACGAGTCAGCACAGGGTCAACTCGGCCTTGCTGGTGCAACCTCAGACCCGGCTTTTCCTAACTCGGACCAGGCAGAAGAAACACATCCACCCTCTTCCCCACAAACCTGCTCCCTACACATATTATGCTGTTGGACCAAAACACACCCACTTCCTAAAAATACAGCAGAAACGGTTGTTCGGTTGTTCTTAACATAAGGCTCCCCGTGTGTCCTCTTTGAACAGGTAGGAGGCAGCCTTTCAAACATCAGAAGTATTTCCTTAGCCTGATTGGAACAAACCATCTCTAAACAAACAGAACTCACCGCATATGAATGAAACAGAAAATTTGAATGTGGTGGATAGATGTGATTTGACTGAACTAACGTTATAGAATTACTGACTATATTTAGGCGCGTAAGTGGTTAGGTTCTATGGTTCTGTTTTTAAAGAGTCAACTTCATTAACAAACAACACGATACAGCAATACAAAATGAACTTATTTCTACAATTATGAATGACTCTCAAACATGTTGAGTGGAAAATCTAGACACAAAATATATTCTACGTGAATTTATATGACAGTAAAACTCATTTTTAAAATGCTGTATCTTTTAAAGATACTGGAATATTTATAGGCAAAACTATATTTACTTCAAAACAGTTGAGTGGGAATGGAGGGAGGTGGTGAAATTACAGATGAAGCATAAATTGATCTCATTCTTGGAGCATGAAGTACATGGGGGCTCATTGTATTATATGTTCTCGAACACGTTTGAAATTTTCCATAATAAAAAGTTTTTTAAATAATAACAAGAAATGTTTCCTTAAATACTTCCATATTTGAGAACCAACTAAGGTACCTAAATTGTAAGTACAAAATGTAGCAGTTCTTATGTCCTTGCTAAGAGAAAACAATAAGTAAACTCACGAATTAGCGTTCTTTTATGCTTCTGTTTAACCATGTGTGCACTTAAGTACTGGCTATGGGATAAAAACGGGGCTGAGCCTGGTACTTGCATGACGTGTGAAAGTCATGGGCATCAGCACATCCATTCATTTGCTTGCGGGCACTGATGCCATCATGAAGATGCAATGGCTATGTCAGATGAACGAGACTCTCATTTACTCGCTCACCCACCGACCCACACTCACGGAGCACCCAGATGCCGCCGGCTGGCTCCCAACTTTGCACCAGACACGGGCAGATAAGTGTCTAGGGAATGACTTCACTCTCCAAGGACAAGGGACCAGTTGACAGCCTCAAGTCCTGCCAAGAGCTCTGTGGGGCCCCAAGTGATGTGTTAGGAGTTCGTGGCACAGCACCACTCGCCATAGCGCACACACAGCCCCCTGACGGAACTGCCAATTCCTTCATGCTTTCTCAGTGTCAGGCGCTGTGCTAGGAGCCAGAGACACACAAGGACCACACCCCAGGCCTTGGCAGTCATATGGTCTGGGTGGGGTGGGGTAATACGAGTGGCAGTGGAGGAGGTGGATGGGTCGCTGAAGCCGGAGGGGCAGGTGCAGAGAGAGAACAAGCAGTGGCTTCTTGGAGGAAGCAGCGCCTAAGTCGCCACCTAAAGGTTCAGTAGGAATTAGCAGGGCAGGGAGGCAGGGCGCATGCTCCAAACAGGAGCAGCGGTAGTGGGACTTGGGGATAGGAGAGAGCGGGGTGTTCCCAGATGGTGCGTGAACTTGGGCCAGATGGCTTCCTCGGGAAGTGCTGGGGATGACAAGGGCAGCTGGACGCGCCCTGGGGCTGGGCCGCAAGGCGAGCGGAAGTGCAGACTATCTTGGGCCGAAGGGAGCCTCAGAAGGGTGCTGGAGCAGGTGAGTGAAATGACCAAGATTTTTTTTTAATCATATTAGCTAACTGCTAGGATGGAACAGATGAGAAAGAGAAGCCGAGGAGCCAATTAAGAGTCTGGGGTGGGAAACGGGGGTGGGAGGTGCGGGGAGCTGCTGGTGAAGGAAGTGGTCATGATGGAGAGAATCTCTCATCAAGGGCGGCTGTACAGATGTCTCCCCCACAGGACAAAGAAGGAGTCGGCCTCCTCGCAAAGGTTCAAAGGACATACTGCACCCCCACCCAGAAGGTGGGAGGCCTGACCAGGCCGCCCCGTAAGGGCCCGTCCTGCCCTGCGGGTCTATGTTTATGAAGCCAGATCAGAACATTCTGTGGCAAGAGCGACAGAAAACACAGATGGGAAAAATAAAAGCAGAGCTGTCTTAAACATCAGGCACTGAGTCTCAGAACGATGGCCCGACCACCACGCGGCACAGGCATAGCAGTGGGAAGTGTGACAACGAATGGAGCACAGCTTCCTAAGTCAGGGTGTGGAGAGGGAGCCAAAGGAACGAGAATTCCCCAGGGCACCTCTGCAGCAGCACAAAGAAGAGTTTGTTTTCAAAGGCAGGGAAGCAAGCCAAGATAAAAGGCTTGAAATGGAAATGCAAACAGGAGAGCCACACCAGGCAAGGCTGTGTGTCTTTCCAACCTCATCTGAGCAAAGAGGCCCCCTGTAGGAGCGACAGGTGCCCCAACAGAGCTGCAGGCAGGGCAGGACGCTACCACTTCCTCAGAGAAACAGGAAGGAACTCCTGTGGCCCCACTGCCTGGAGTGGCACCCTGGCTTGGCCCCCAGCCACCGAAAGGTCCTCCCAGCATCCATGGGCATCCTAAGGTGTCAGCCAGGCTTGCAAAAAGCCTTTGAAAAGTGACACCTCGACCGCAATCCACCTGGACGGAATAACCAAGGCGTAAAGCATCCTGGGCTGGAATCACATACATGGATTTGAGAACATGACTTATGATATACTAATAACAAACACGGGAGGGACAACTTCATCTTAATAGTGCGGTCGGTTTGATGGACAAGTCTTTCAGAAAGAATAAAATAATGCCCAGGGTGACACAAATTTGGAACCAGGAGCCGAAAGGATATAGGTCACAATTCTTGCTATTCCATGTGAACCTGACCTCCCACTCTAGGCCAACTTCTTAAAACTGACACCTTTGCTTTCTGTCACCTCCCTGAGGTGCAGGGAGGCTTGGCAATTGCATCCCGGGCCCCAGCTGTCTCCTTCCGCTCCTCACAGGCCCGAGCTTGCCGACTGTCCCGTGAGGACCATCAGTGTTCTGAGTACCCGCAGCTGTCACCCGATGGTGTGGTGACTCGTGTGCTCACAGTTGGTGCAAAGGCTGACCCCCAAACACTCCTCATCCCTAAGCTGGTGCTCCCCACCTGGCAGGAACCAAATGGGGAGTGAGCCAGAGACAGCCATAGACATGTGCATAGTTGATTATGGCACATTTTTTAAAACATTTTTATCATGGAGATGGGAAACTGCACAACAGTAGAGCAGTATAATGAACCTCACACACCCATCGACCAGCTCCAATGACAGCTCTTTACCTCGACCCACCCCACACCTTCATTACCATTTCATCTGTGAAGACTTCAGTATCAATTTCTCCAAAAAACAGATGACTCTCTTATACACATAACCGTAATATTATTACCATACCCCCAAAGGTCAACACTCACTTATTATGTGACATGTATTCTCATGACCCCCTAGAAGCAGTCTGTTTTCTCAGACTCAACACGACATCTTCTCAGCCGTGCACACCTGAGACCGGCAGACACAAGCTAAACCAAAACCCTTATTTTTGTTCAAATGATGCAACAACCAGGATCACCCAGCTTCAAACGCCCTGGTGAGGGCAACGTTTCAGGCTTCATGTTGGGGGAAGGAAGGTGAGATGATAATGATGATGATATTGTTAATAGCTAAGGTGGAGTATTTCATAAACAACCGCTATGCCAGGCACTTCCTCATATACCTGAATCCCCACAGCCCTGTGAGGGAGTCTTTCCCTCCCAGAGAAGGGTGAGGCTCAGCAAGACTCAAGAGCTGGCCCAAGACCTCACAGGGCAGTGTGGCAGCAGGGTTGCTCTCCAGTCTGTCTGATTGCAGATGACACAGTTTTAACGCTGTGCCATGCTGGTGAAACCTCACCGCACGCCTTCCTAATGCTGCCCACTTGTCCCCTTGTCATGGGATATCCCCAAGTCTTCTCATATCTCTTGCCTTGTGATCCCCAAGGTGGTAGGGGAGCCTTTACAAGTGTGTACCCCAGGGGAAGGTGGGGTGACCCTCAGCATTGGCTCAGCCAACTCCTAAGAGCCCCAAGCAGGAGGCGGTACTCACCAAATTGGCCATCCAGTTTCACATACAACTCGATGACGCCATAGGCAATGGTGGTGGGAGCCGGGATCTCCAGCACCACGTTGCTGTCCTTGATGACGGTTCCATCCTCCGTCGCTGACACCTGTGGGTGAGGGCACATGCTCCCACCTGTGTATTCAGACCCCCCAGATCTCTTTGCCCCCCACTGTGGCTAGCCCAGTGTCTTGCACTCAAGTGGTGCCCAGACAGTGCCCACATAACCAAGTGGAAAGGAGGAGCCAGCTGGCAGAGTTTAGGTTTCATCCTGATTAGCCTCATGATGTGCACACAGATTCCCAAGTAAATGGCCAAGCTGGTGGCACAGAGGTAAGATTATTGAGTCGGATGCAGGGAAGTTAGGTCTACGGCGCTGAATAAAGATAACGAATAAGACAACATAACTCCCCATTTCCCTCATGGAGGATTATGGAAGCTACTCTGAAATCCTAATGAAAATCCTACACAACAGGAAAGCCGGAGGGGGAGAACCTAGCTGAGAGAGAGCCCCCCGTGCTCGTCATTCCAGACCCCTGTGGATGGCACACTGAGCTGTTAAAATGAGGGCAGAGGCTGGAGGAAGGAGAAGCCCGGATGAGAAGGGTGGGCAGGAGATGCCAGGAAGTCAGGCACCAAAGCTCTCTCCTTCAAACACTGCTGCAAATATGCCCCTTTTCCACACTGGCCAGGCGAGAGGAAGACAAGAATCCATTTGTTGCCCAAACACGAGATCAGAGACCTTTCTGAGCAACTTGATCCTGGTCAGAGCGTGATGACGGGCAGCCTCCTGACTCCCAGGTGGGCTCTGGGCCTTTGGTGGGGTTCGCCGTGGGCAGAAACATTGGCAGGGCCAGCCGAAGTGATCTCCCATCAGGCACATCCCTCATCACCGCTGTCCAGCCCGCCCAGCTGGCCGACCCCAGGGAGAGTCCAGGTCCAGACCTGTATCCCCACCTCCTTCCAGACACAACATTCCTGGGTCCTCTAGCAAAGGCCAAACATTACCCCAAAAAGTAAATCCCTAAGAATCGAGTATCAGGCACCAGGGCAAGCAGGAAGAGACACAGCGGCTTGGCAGCCTCCTGTTCCACTGAAGTCTAGTGCTGGCTCAGGGGTCAGCTTGTTAAGTAAGACTTTAGTCCAGAAGCATGTGTTTATGCTTCTTATACACACAGATGTAAAGGTCCCCACCTTCCCTAACTCAATCCACAAAGGATTTGAGGCAGCTAATCCCACAGTAATCGTTGTGAGGCCCCAGACTCTGAGGGGCTCTGGGGGTCATCTGTGCATTTGGCCTGGCCTGGGCCCATCAGACCCATTTGCTTTTGGAAATGCACCTGATCCAAGCCAGTGTGGCCAATCTGAGCATCCTATTGCCCTGGCCTTGAGTCTGCCTAGATGGTGCAGTGAGACCCAGCCTGGAAGCGCCCTTCCCCCTGGGGCGGCAGCAGGTGGGAAGAGAGCCTGGTGCTTGCACCACAAGGAAAGAGACAGTGTCTCAGGGAAGGCAGCTCACAACGTTCTCGAAGTCCTGGGTCCAGCAGTAACTGACGCCAGCTTCCCCCAAACGTTTCAATTACATGAGCCAACAAATGCTTTCTCGTTTAAGCCAGTTGAAGTTGGACTTCTCTTAACTGGCAACAGAAAAAGTCCTGATGAATGAAGACACCACCACCCTGACCAAGGTCCCGATGGCAGGAACCAGAGCGGCCGCTGTGGCCTCAGCCCTCTGGCCCCAGGCCCCCACCCCGGGGACGCCCGCACCTGCACCGTCTTGGTTTGGATTCCCACCATGCCGCCGCACTTCTCCTCCACCTGGACGTGCTCCGATATCACACACTTCTGTGTTGTCACTATCTTCTGTATCAGGACGCACAGGACCTCGTGCCTCCTCTCCAGCACTTGCTTCAGCACAGGGTTTTCCAGATTGATCGTCCTGAAACAGAAACAGGGCTTTGAGCGGCCTCATGCCTCAGGGGAGATGGATGCAGCATAGATTTTCTCCTTGCACAGCTGGAGGTTGAAGAGCGAACAGGTGACAACCAGCATCATTTATTTCCCGATGAGGAGAAAGGGGGCAGTTCATCAGAAAGGCATAAACTGTACCCTCCCGAGGCTGCCTGGGAGCTGCCAGGCCTCCGGAGAAAGGCTGGACGCCGGAGGGAAGGGGGACCCTGTCAAACAGCAGCGCTGGTTGTCAACGAGGAATAAGGGAAACCCAAGCAGTGTGGGAGCCGCCATCCATCTGCCTTACACCCAGGGGACTCCGCTTGTCATTTAATCAAAGGCTGAGGGACTACAGACAGCACAGCCACGACCCAGGAAATTCAGGGCTCCTGTGTGAGGAACGTTGACCAGTTGCTTCTCACGGAGGAGAGAGGAACAGGTTTTAAGTACAAGTAGCAATGAAGACATTGGATTTACATTTAAAAAGAATGTCTTAACCTGTCTGTCCCTGAAGGTTGTATGATCTCTTAGGAGGGTTTTTACATCATGTTACCGATGGAGAAACAGGCCAGTTAGGTGTGACTGTCCCAGGGTCACCCAGCAGAGACTTGGGGCTCCCATGCAGTTATTCTGTGAAATTTCAAGACACTAAATTTCCATCTGTAGGAGATGGTTTCACACTTAGAAACAAATGATGAAATAACCTCTCTGGAGATCTCGTTCAACACCTCGGAGTCTGTGAAGTGGACCAAATTAGGGTTGGTCTTCGCATGAGAACAACTATGGTGTTCATGGTGGGCCTTTTAAACAGTCCTCCCAGTTACCTTGCAAAGTTCAGCACCATCCCTAACCGCACGAGGTGGAGGGTGGGTCACGAGGTGGAGGGTAGGGTGGGTCACGAGGTGGAGGGTGCCCCCCCCCAGCAGACAGACTCTTCAGACTTCAGAAACGATCCCCAGACTGGTGTAGCTGGAAAGCCCCTATCTCCATGTGTTGTGAAAAGCTTCCTGGAGTGGAAACAACTTTGTGACCATCAACAGATGAATGGACAAACAAAACGTGGTATATACAAATAATGAGAGATTATCAACCATAAAAGCAATAAAGCTCTGACATGTGCTACAACATGAACAGGCCTTGAAGACATTATGCTGAGAGAAGTAAGCCAGGCACAAAAGGACAAGTGTTGGGTGATCCTACTTATATGAAATATCTAGGCTAAGCAAGTTCACGGCCACACAAAGTAGATTCGAGGCGACCAGGGCTGGGGGATGGAGAATGGGGGAGGGTTACTGCTAGAGGGCTACCGAGTGTCTGTTAGAAGTAATAAAAATTAGGTTCTAGAGGTTCTAGAAAAAGACAGTGGTGTTGGCTGTACAACAGTGTGAATGCACTTAATGCCACTGAATTGTACACATAAAAATGGCTGAAATGACAAATTTTATGTTATATATATTTTATCACAATAAAAAAAAGACATGAAAAACTTCAATCTCAGCAGTGGCAAAAAAAATGCAAATTCTAACAATGTTTCACGCATATTAAATAAGTAATAAAAATGAAATGACAACAACAACAAAGAAGCTGCCCACGGCTCCATTTTCAGGAAGGTCCACGAAGCAGGGCTTGGAGCCGGCCCAGCTGGGGTTCCAGTCCCAGCTCTGTCCCTCCAGCTGGGTGACCTTGAGTGAATTACTTCACCCCTGCACCTTGGTTCTCTCATGGTGACACAGATGGTAACAACACTTTCCCTGTGGACTTCTCGTAGGGTTTAGATGAGACGACATGCGGTGAGTAGGATGTTACAGGCCACATAAACACTTGCCGACTCCAGCCACTTCCTGTGTCCCTCTCCTGAGGCCCCGCAAAACAAAGCCACAGTGTGTGCAGTTGATGGGAATTATTTAATTATTGGAATTAAATAATTGGATAAATTATTGGAAGTTCTTTTGCATGTCACTTGCTTGGAAATCCGTAATGGCTACATCGCATCTCAACACCTCCCCCAGGCTATGAGGCTGCCCACCCTCTGTGACCTGCCCCCCCTCCTCACAACACCACCTGCTGCTTTCTCTCTGTAACTTAAACACGCCCGGCGCATGCCCACCCCAAGGCCTGAGAACCATGTCCCCTGACCCCACGGCACTGATGCTCGTGAGGAGGCAGGCGTCCCCTGTGCAAAGCAGCACCCCGTCATGCTATCACATCCTAAGACCACTTCTCTGGAGAGCAGAGTTCCACACAATACTTTTCTAGCTCATTTGTTATTTGTTCACGCTCTGTCTTCTCTCTCTAGACCATAAGCTCCACAGAAGTCGGGCTGTGTCCATCTTGGCTGCTGCTCATCTCAGGACAGTGCCCAGTGCATCGCAAGGGCTCAAGACATATTTTTGGAATAAATGGTTAAATAAAACCTGTGGGGTTTTTTTCCCTCTACGTCTGTGTGCCTTAATGAATGTGTCAATGTGTGAGTCTAGATGCATCTGTGTGTGAAAGAGAGAAAACATATGGAAGACGGAGGAAATGGAGGACCAGCAGTGTGGTTTGAAGAATGATATGGAGATGGAAATGTCCCTAAAAGATTGTGTCTTGGTCTAAGAGGCTCAGGGTTTGAAGACGAGAGCCAGTGTATTCACCAGTCAGAACGACATGGGACGTGTGTTGGTCCTTTCCACCGTGCTCCTCCGTCTACTGCACACAATCTTCTAGCAGACTCTTGAAAATCGCCCTCTGCAGGTACAGCTCAGGCACTAGCTCATTCCCCTGTGGACACGCACAGGAGAAGCAGCACCTCCCAGTCCACAGCCCCGGAAGGAACAGCGGAAGGCCGCCTCGAGTCCTGCCCTGGGAACCTCTGCACTGCTATGGACCTTAAACAGCTCCGCGAAGGCTCGATGCCGTCTGTCTTAGACAATGCGAAATGATTTCAAAAGGAAAAACTCCGCCTAGACCACCCAAAGACTCCACTGCTGAAAGCGCCCACCTCCCTGCAGAACCCCCACGTCACCCCACCCCAAACACCAGAAGAAGGAGGGAGGAAAAGTCAGTTGCAGGAAGGAAACTTTCTTCTGCATCTAAAGGTAGGACAGCCCTGACATGCTAACAGGGCCAGCCAAGCACCTGCGAGGCTTTGCTGCCCAAAGAATGGCCCCTGTGGGGCGGCCCCACCATGGGATAGCGAACAGAAGCTTGCTTGGCCAGGGACAGGGCCCATCCTCATGGCTAAGATTTGGGTGACGGGAGGAGAGTGTCTTCAGGCTGGCGGAGAAATGCTTCCCTGGGCTCTGAGGGCAGGCAGGTGGCCTCTACTTGCAGGCACCGCTTTCAGGTGGCTGGGATTGTTTCCTGGGACAGTGCTGCCACCTTTTGGAAACTAAAGGCTGGACAAACCTACTCCTTCAGTTAGGAGAGGAGACCTGATATAGACAGAGGGGAAGCTAATCATCATCAGGGGAAACGGACTGTTCATCTGACTCTTTGCAAAGCAATCTCTAGAGGGAACTCATCCCCAATCTCCTCCCCTAGTTAACACTGCCTGACGCCAGGCAGTGCCAGGACCCAAAACAGCTCGTGGCAGCCGGACCCTGGCTTTGGCCGTCCTCAGAACGGGGATCACTGTGCGATGGGACTACCCTGGGTCCACCAAGTGGGGAAACCGGCCATATTGCAATGTAATTCATTTACGTTTATAATCCTATAGAACTTACATGCATTTTAAAAAGGTCCATGGTTTCTTCAGACTAAAAGGATTCAAGTAACAAAAAAGTTTAAAACCCTAGAGAACAGGTTTCATAGATAAACAAGAAACAAGGAGGGGCAGCCGGGTGGCTCAGCTGGTTAGAGTGTGTGCTCTGAAAAACAAGGCTGCCAGTTCGAGTCCCACATGGGATGGTGGGCTGCGCACCCCGCAACTAGACTGAAAACGGCAACTGGACTTGGAGCTGAGCTGCACTCTCCACAACTGGATTGAAGAACAACGACTTGACTTGGAGCTGATGGGTCCTGGAAAACACACTGTAACCCAATAAAAATTAAAAAAATATAAAATAAAATAAATTGTCATCCAAATGGGACACTTAAAAAAAAAAAGAAAAAGAAACAAGGAGTCCCAGAGAGGCTGCAGATAGTAACCTAAGTCACACAGCTAAGGAGCCCAGGTTGCTCTTTCGTGAAGCCCCACCCAACTACCCAACCATGGCAGCCCAGCCCCACCGCTGCTGTCACCCTCTGGGAGAGGGCGCCCTGTGTCTATTCCAGGAATGTGACCTTCATATTTAGTTAACTCTTGTACCGCTATGTCCATTTCGACATCAGTATGTTGCCTGTCTAGCTACACCTGTGGCTGGGGGCCGGAAGGAGGTTTTATGTCCAAGTCCTCTGGGAATTTTTTCCAGGATATCCATATCTGCCTGTTCTCCCTGACCCCATCCCCGGATGGCTGCAGCCACGCACACTTAGAAAACTCCTCCTCGTGTTGTCCCATTGGCTCCATGCCTCCTGGGTCCTCTTAAGAACCACTGAACAACACACACAGAATGTCTTTAGAAGGAGACACCAAAAAACTAGGCATGGTGGTTGCCTCTGGGGCAGGGGACTAGATGGCTGGGAGGATAGGGATAGGAGACCGTTCACCTTTTCTCTCTTGACCTTTTCACATTAAAACCATTGTGAACATATCAACCATTCAAAAGCATTTTTTTATTATTATTAAAAAAGACCTCTGGATAGACTCTAAGCTCCTGGAGGACGGAGCTCCCTGCTCCTTTATTGGAGCTTAAGTTTACAGAAATTCTCAAGGACATAAAATTCTAAAGGGAATAAAACTCTCTTCCCCAGCCCAGCCCGGGGTCAATGCCCACAGACAGGAGAACTGGGGCAGAAGGTCTCCCACCAGAAAATAAGCAGCCAGAGGCTCCCCATCCTCGCCACGCATTTTTTTGGTTTTTGTTTTTAGCTGAGCCATCCTGCCACCTGTTGGCAGCTCAGCGG